TCCCTTCCGCGCTGCAAGCTGTGCTGTGAACGCTGCACAACATTACCACCTTGCCTGAGCTGGCTGGGATGCCCAGCTGGACCTAGATTTCATCTAAGGATTTTACAAGAACAGAGATTTGACCACCCGACCTGCAGTAGAGGTAGGCAGGAGAAAACTAGCAACCTACGCACTTTATGATAATTACTCCTATCATAAAGGTTCAACCGTGAGAACCTTTTCTGACTACACGTGCAGTGGTCCCAAACCACTGGAACAGCCCACAGATCAGTTACAGCTGATAGTTCAACTTGGAGGATAAATCCTTTGAGAACACTCTTATCATTTTAATATAAACACTGAACTTCATACTATATAACAGCACAACCAACCAAGCTTTGAAGATAAATCATTTTAAGGAACACTGTATTTCTGACACCTAAAAAGAGGTGGCAATGCTTGCTGCTGTTAACCATTTTCAGAAAAAAAATGCAAACCATCTGGGCCAGTGAGAGCATGAGGAAGGGAAACAACACACCAGGGCAGCACATGGCTAAATTTTCTCTGCTCTAATTCTAAATTAGTTGAACTTGTGCTGGTGCAGGCAGAGCAGAGCCCCTGGAACAGACTACAGGCTGTGCCCCTAACAAGGGCCTTCCCTTAATAGACTTTAAGAAACCTTTTCTCACTGCACGAGTCACTGATTTGTTCCTGAAACTCCCTGCGATGAAATGAAGGACCCAAAAGCATTTAATTGTTGAACACATAAAAGGAAGTATATTTAAAATAAAAAAAATTGGTCAGACTGTAGAGTCAATTACCATTTTTAAAGGAATTTACAGGGCTGTTGTAGATGAGTCTTTTGGAATAGTCAGTTTATCGCAATGCCTAAACTGGTTTCTCCATTGCACAGTATTTTCTTTTAAAATGTGTGCATTTTTAAACAATTACATACATATTAAAAATCAGCATTTCTTTGCTTAAACTTAATTAAAACGTTAATACTCTCAGACAACACAGATCTGAAATGGTGAAACCAGTAATTGCCCCCTCCCACCTTACAACAAATTAAATTGAGACAAAATTACAAACACATTTCACTACATGATTATTATTAATAAAAATCAGTTTTGTTTTTTTTTCTTTTTTTATAAAGTTGCCCAAAATGCAAGGGATGTGCATAGGTTTACAACTTAGAATAATATTTTACTTTATTCCCTTGGGTACGTGTTCCCATGAACGGAATGTACTTTGCTGTAGATTACAGGTTTTATCAACACAGATACACCAACGGCATGAACGCTTGCGACTGTCCACATGCATTAAGAGTCAAGACCCAATTTCAAATTTCTAAAAGTTTTACAGAGTTCTTCAAAGAGACAGTATCACATTATCTGGATGTTACACAAAAGTACTTAAAAATGCTATCCTAGAAAAAAAAAAAAGCGAAAACAGGCCTGTAAAATTTATGAATTTGTTTCTTAACCACTAGACTAATTACTTCAAATAAATAAAGGAAAGCAAAGTATTCCAATCCATAAAATCAGACTCTAAAAAGAATGTAGTGTTCCACCCCCAAGTTAAGGTAACAGAATCATATTATTACTATTAAAATAGATTATAGAAAGCAGCATCTATTTTGTGCAGTTTTTAGGGGCCCTTGAAATAAAAAGCTATGATTTCCAAAAATATAACATTCCAAAGGACTGAATAATACACATATTTAAAGATACATTTTATTAAAGTTTAGGAGAAATGATTAAAAAAGAGATACTGTCTCTTTAAATTAGTGTTTAATTTTTTTTCCCATCCTCCTATCTATTCGGACATGACAATAATTATATTTTAGGTCACACTACATCTAGGTAGTCTCTAGGGGCCAAGACCTGTTGACACAAGGTCAATAACGAAGAGGTTTTCCATGTATGAGGCGGTTCCCAGTAATGACATTTTTTTTCAATTCTCTCGTGACCAGCCTAGTAGACCCAGGAGACCGGGACCCACTGTGAGGCTGTACACACAAGCTCGATGGCTTCCTCCAGGTGCCTGATAGTTTCATCAATTTCATTGTTGATAATTGTTAGGTCAAAGTAGTGTGCATATGTTCTCTGTAAGATTTCAGACTCCTTCTGCAGGCGCTGAAGAGATTCATCCTGTTCGGTGGTCAGAAAAGAGAATGGAAGAGAGAGAAGTTGGATCCTTTCGTACTCTCCTACAACAGCTTTCTAACTGTTGCTTACAGAAGAGGGAAATGGGCACAAAAGCCTCAGGGAGGCCTAGGCGGTTTAGGACCCCACCTACATCTACGGAAATCACATGGGAGAGAGGGCACCATTTCTCTCTTGAAGCTGACATTCAAACAGCACTCAGTTACTGACATCACTTGAGCCAAAACACAAGCCTAGTGTTAAAAAAGCAAGGCAGAGGATGGAAGCTTAGAAAAGCAACACAGACATGAGCAACGGAGACCATATATGAATAAAACGTACAAAGCGCACAAATCTGAGCTATTGGGCCTATGTCCAGCTAAGAACACAAGAAACAGGAGAGGGTATATTGTCAGCTATCAGCTGTTCCCGGTTTTGGTAATGCTTTCTGTTCCAACATCAGTCTTCTGGGTCCACTTCCTTCAATAATCACTTACTGATAAGGAAGTTCTCACTCCGCATCGCTCTGTGGTTCCTGTTTCAGAGCGTGCCATTTCCAGCATCTCTTAGTGTGAGATCCCGGAGATGAACCACGCCGCCCATACTCAAGAAGGGCCAGCGACAGCAGACTGGTGCTCCCCATGGCTTTGTGCCAGAGTCCTTACAGACACAAGTGCATCCTACTTTGTGGGTGCGCTACCGGGCTCTGTGCAGCCAGCAATGCTACAGCGATGGGCTTTGTCAGTGAGGTCTGCCTTTCTGAGAGAGCAGGATTGCAAAAGGCTTCTTTCTAGGGCTTTGCAGCCATTAGAAGTTTGAATTACCTTCCTGAAAATTCCCTCAGAAATTAAAAAAAAAAAAAATATACAAAATTTGCTGCTTTCAGGCAACCTGAAATAGCCACAGGAAAGTAATCAAGTCCTTCCTGTCCCACAAGTTTGGGGTGGTTATGGGGCAAAATTACATATGAACAGTATAGACTCCTGGTGTTCCGTAGTATCTATAGGGTCACCTTACTTGATCAACCAACTGGGATAGACTTTATTACAACAGTTTTAGGCTGAAGTGAGTACAGACACAGTGCCTATAGCTGTTTTCACAAGAAATCATTCTGGAAACAGAATTTCATCCAGTTAACAGGAGACTCCTCCCCTCCCCTTTTTGTGGTTAAACTTCCCAAGTATTTGTAATTACAGGGACAAGTAGCTGTGGAAGAGCAGCTGTCAGGTCCTCTGAAGGGAATAACCTGTGCTGAGACAGTTCTCCTTCCCTGTAACTATGAAACCAGCCATTTCTGGAGAAGTCATCCCGTACCAAAGTTACAGTTCTGCTTCTCTCCTGAAGCTGCAGCCTCAAATAATGGGGGGGTGGGGTGTCACCTTCACTGGATAATCACTACGAATTTCATTCGAAGTCAGACAAATACTCCTCACATACGCTTCTGTAAAAAGGATGCTCCTTGTACGGACCATTATGCATGTCCAGTGATGACTGGAACTTCCGCAGAAAATACCAGTGCATCCAAATTTAAATTATGCTATTAACAAATGGGACAATATGGATCAATACTAATATTAAATATTTTTGTGGAACATTTCATATGGCCCAGTGTCCTTAAGCTAAAAACCTAGTTAGGCAAACTGCCAACTTCTCATAGATTCCAAAAGAGATATCAATTTATATCAGCAGAAGATCTAAACTTTTCTGCTTAAATTAACCTACAAAGGAAAAAAAAAAAATCATACTTGTCAAGCAGAATATTTTCAGTGCTTTAAACATATCTAGCTAAGACAAATTCTATATTTAAAGCCAGTCCCAGCAAAATCATATTGCACCTTTAAAAGAATTTTAATCTCATGGCACAAGGCCAATAGTACCTGAAAACCCTTACGAACATAGAACTGTTAAGTCTTATGTAGCTTTTTAACTGCTATTCGAGATTTCCCATCAATGTCATCTTTACCTACAAGCATGAGAATGAACTTTTCTCACTAAAGCATTTATCTTCCTGTAACTGACAATAAAAATCTGAAAAAACTTACCGCTATCTCATCTTAAAAAAAAACAACTGGTAGATAAAGAAGAATGAATACTAATATTTGCCTTGCACACATAGATGTCACAAAACTAAGAGTTTCAAAAATTCATTAAATTTTAATATTTTTTCTGACTTAGCATCTCCTAGATCCAACTTTACTGGGATCAAAGTGGGTTGTATTTTGGAATATCTAAACTTCCTAGCCTGTTGGAAATGTAAAACATTACTACTTTCATATACTTTTAGGGGCAGTAATGTTTGGGGTAGGCCATTGCAGCAGTTTTCAAATAGGTTCAAACTTTTTCAAGTTCTGCAAAAAGAATAGAGATTACAGTTCTTGATTTTCGTTTTATTCTGGGACCAAATTTCACCTGTGTTTGTGATAGAGTATCTATTTGTACATTCAAAACCACATCAGACTTGATTGTTTCCTCTGTGTCTTAAACGCCAAAATTCATCTTTGAAGCTAACACTTCCTCAAAATTTTTGCTGTAGTAAGTTCCTCTTAATTTCTCTTAATTGAATTTTGAATAGTGAACATCCCAGACTATTCTCCAAGAAGAATATTATCCAGCAGTTGTGCTCGCAAAAGAGTCAAGAAAGAAGGTATTAATCAAAATGTTCAGCTAGCTGCAGACAGACAAATGAATGGCCACAACTTCAGTAATTTCACATTTGGGAGCAGAACATCTGTCTCTTCTTCCCTCAGTATTCAAGTAATAGGTATTTTATGTGAGTCTAGCTGCAGTGTGTTCATTATTGGAACATGCTTTTCTTTTCTATCACTAGAAGTCACTTCGCTTTCCTCATCTTCTCTCCTCCTCCACCACAGCTGGGAGAGAAAGGAGTGAAACATGGCTTTTATCCATGAAATCTTTCCCACATGCATAATGGCCAGTGTCTGAGGGATGGGGATTTTTGGCCTTAAAGCTCTTGCAACAGTCAAAGCACAGCCTAACAAATTACTAATATTCTCGTCCAAGGCTGTGAACAATGCATAAACACACCATCAGGCCTTTGCCAATTTTGCTCCAACAGAAAGAAATTCTCCTCAATTTAAACAGCTGGTAGACTGCAAACTTCTTAAGAAAAAAACCTTCTATTCTTTGGCTGCAGGAAGGGAGGAAGCATACCTAAAATTCAGAAGAATTTGGCTCAATAAAGATTTACACATGGCTCATGAAGATTTAGATCAAAAAAGTGGAGCCTGTTAATTCCTCTTTGCTGTTGTCTGGGCAATGGGAGGTAGAAAACAGCTGGAGGAAAGAGGAACTACCCCACTGTTGCCTGATACGCTCTCTCCTCTGTCTGTTCTAGCACAGTAACAAGCTGATTTAAGTCTCCTCTGTGACCAGACAGGTGGGTACACACACAGAGGGAGATTTCCTATATGATTTATATTGGTTTAGTACTTTGCGGAATTGCTCATAGTGCACTGCTATATTCAGTTGGAAAGCAAAATATTTTGTCTTCTAACTCTTGCTGCGTGGTCCTTGATTATTGAGGTATTTTGTGTCTATGGTAGGCTAAAGTGTCTCAAGAGAGACACTTTTAAGATCAGGCCTCTGAATTGATTTCACCACAAAGTTCAGATGTACAGCTGTAAGAACAGAAATTTTACTCTATAGTTTCTTTTTACTAGCAGATAATTTTAGTGCAGATATCTGAAGCCATTACTGCATTAAATTTTTATTTCAATGGCGAAAGTAATATTGAATGGGAACGAGCATATCTACATTCTAAAACTACTGAAATAACCAGGACTACCTTGTCAGCCCCTAGCTGGTACTTACAGGCAATTTTCTGCACCATTTTGGCAGCTATGTACAATAAGCACGAGTGCAGGAAAATGAAAAGAAAAGCAAAGATGAAATTTAAGAAAACATAAAGGGGGAAAAAAGGACAGTCATTTACAGAAGTGTTCTCAAAAAGCGTAAGTAAAATAAACAAAGCAGGATACGAGGATAAACAGAAAGGGATACTCATTATGCAAACGAACCTTTGAAAAAGGAAGCACAAATGGGAAATATGAAACACACACTCTCCACCCTTGTTTGCTGCCTTGCAGGCTACTAACACACACAGAATTTGCGTTATCTCCCTTCATGCAGCCCAGTAAACCTGGTAAGGTCTGTTGCTATTACCATTCCCTGCCCCACCCTTTCCTTAAGTTTAATTGATTCATAAATTAGCATGCTTTATACGTGGGGCCTCAGTTCAGCAATTCATGCGCCTGAGTGAAAACCTGCATGCACAGAGACTTCAGTCACAAGAGCTTAAAATAAAGACACGGTCTTACAGCATGAATGCAAATATTTAGAACATCATACTTCTACTAATATTTCTTTGGCACGAACAAATATTTCGTCACCACTACTATAAAAGGTACATGTCTGTCTTCTTCCCAGTGTACCACGGAAAACATTTTCTCCCTCATATGAACTGTCACAGATGTCTCTGTATTATATTCTACAGCTGGAAGATTAAAAGTTAAGTACCACTGGCAGACGAGTGAGGCCAAAGAAGACTGTTTGGGAGCTGAGACACAGGTATGGAGGCAACTAACCCAGGCAATTATGTAATTCCACAGGCTACCCAGCTGCCTGAGTGCTGCTGTAAGCCCAATGCCTGCCTGACACATCCGAAGGACAATTCTAACTGTTTTTTAAGTGATGCCATGCCATTTGCTTGCAGAAAGGCAAATTCAGTGTAGAATACAAAATTTTAGTATTTTCTCGAGGTAGTACTGATTTACAGCATACGCCAACACCAGCAGTCAGACGAATGGTCGCTTCACTAACACTGCCAATTGTGACATTCTGAGACATCTTTGTCTGTAAGCTTGTGACATTTACCAGTTAGTGTATGGGTCCACAAGACACAGTGAAGTGACATAACTTACTGCTGGGAAAGTTAAAAAATCCCCCTTCCCCCTCCCATCTCTCTTGCTGGCGATATGCTTTCACTGCTTGTTCTGGCACTGGTACTTGTCAGAGCCTTTGTGAGCTGCTTGAAAACTGACAAAAATCTAATTTAGAGCTAAAGTAGCTCACTAAAGGATCTGGTAAGTGCCATGGCCGGCGGAGACTGACAGTATATGTCCCAAAAGCAAGTCAGAGAGAACCACTCCCTTCAGCAACAGCAAACTAGTAGAATGCCTAGCTGCCAGTAAAATTGCAGCTTGAGGCCAATATTTTTTCACTCTCCACTTGCTATTTTAATAATCATTCAGGGTATTTGCACTTAAATACGTTTTCTTTTTCCTTATTTGCCTGCAAGCCTCTGCAGTGATGTTGTGGTTTCATACTTATCATATTGTAATTACTTTTCTGTAGAAACAGACTGTGGAGACAGGGCTTCTGACTTTATTTTTGTGTGATCAAGGAGACATCTAGGAGATTTGGAACAGATTCATGGTCAAATCCAATTGATTAAACACCTTAATATCATGGTTTAAAAAGTCTGAGCAGATAAAGCGTTTGCATAAATACCATTTGCCCTGTTGTGAGCTAAATCCAGAATTGCTTGGTATCATCTTTGAAATCAGTAGCAATCAACAGAGTGGATACTCTACAAAACCAAGTCGCAATTTCAGGATGTGGACCTCCATGAATACTTAACATTATTCCACAAGCAATTACTCCTTTGGTCAAAGCTTCCAATTCTTAGAGAACGGTCTTCGAAGTTCATAAGCTTATTTCTGATACATATTTGCTGTATAGAAAAAATACTAAGAGATAAAGGTGGGACGATAGCACAGTCACGCACATCCTGTTCTTCAGTTCAGGCCAGCTGTAACCTAGGGCTAGCATTGCAACTCAGAATTGAGTAATTTGTGCTAATGATTTATTAGTCAATAAACGATAAATACATCTCAATCAGCTTAATAGTACTGCATAGAAACTGTCTTTCTGCCTCTCCATTTACAGACAAGGAAACAGCTCAAGAGTCTTATCTGGATATTTGAATCTCATCCTTAATTCTGTCTCTGATAGGACATTAGATTGCAGCATGCCATACCTCATTAATGCCTGGGGTAATCGTAGGTGCAGCAATAAAAACAACAAAAGGAGCAAACTCTGCAGTTCTCAGGACCTTCAGTGCCTAGGTGAAAAAAAATCAGGTACTTTAGAAAAATCCTCCAACAATCAAAGTGAAGTAAACAATCAAGGTGAAGTAAGATTAGTCACACAAGCAAAAGATAGAAAATCATGGTTTACCAATGCTGGTATTTGCTTTTAACTGATCTGGAGTCAAGACCTTAGTAATACAGATACTTTTTGAATTATTTTACATTTTTGGTGGTCAAACTGTACATTTAACCTTAATTAAAGTGAGTTTTCATGACAATGAAAGCTTTAGCATTTTTGAGAGGCTCTTCCCATACAGTCTCAAAGAGTCAGAATTCTGGTTGCGTTTAAACTGAATGATTAACACCAGGTAAAAAAGAAAAAATCAGTCATGGGGAAAAAAGACAACTGTATTTTAGAATAAATATTGATTAGAATATATTTTTTTTTGGTCTGGCTTTTTCTACCTACCAGCACTTTTTTATTATTATTTTCTGAAACAAATAAAAATGGGATGTGAGAGTTTTTGAAAAGTAAGCATAGTGAAGTTTTTAAAAAGTAAGCATAGCACTAAAGCAGTAAATGCAGCACCAATCTCCTGAACCAAATCTACGCAAAAAAAAAAAAAAAAGTTCTCATTAAAAAGCTGACTTAATCATAATTTACTGACACAGAGCTGCCATATGTGAAACTTTGGTACAGATCCAAGCCAGGGGCATGACATCAAGTAAACATACCTCAGCTGAACTCAAATGGACAGACAAGATAAAGTAAGACTACTAAAGGTCAGTCTTTTGTTTGCTCCTTCCACTTCCTGTCTTCTTCAAAGTTTTTTCTTCAAAAAAAACCCAAACCCAAACCAAACCCCACAATTCATCCTCTTCCCAAGCTAAAGAGGTTTTCATCTCTGCTGCTTGAAACTCACATATGTATCTATCTAGCTATCTCATCTACGCCAACCTCTTCTAAACAAGAGATAAACCCTATATGTGGAAGTCAAGAAAGCTCACCTAACTAAGAGTACCCAAGGGAAAACAGGCAAGCGGTGTAAGATAACTAGGAATAGGTCCACAAACAGGCTGCCTTAATGAGCCGAGATGGATGCATGAAAAAGCTGGTTAATAAAGAGGCTCGCTAGACACATGCTGGAGGAAGTGCAGCAAAGGTGGCTGTGACCAAATGTAAGTATATTCTAACAAAGATTAAAATGGCTTCTGAGAATTGTAATGCTTCTGAATAACGCAAGTTGAAAAGGTTTATCAAGAAAGTTTGCTTTTAACAGCTGCTCCATTTGAACTAACTATAAATGCTGCTCTCCCTGAAAACTGTTAAATGTGGGGTTTTATTTTTCAGAACGAGCACCACACCAGCATACTATGTGAACTGTCCTAAATAATTTAGTCAGGTATCTTATTTCTGTTATGAAATTCTTAAAGAAGTTGAACTTCCTGAATCCATTCACACAGAAGAAAGAATGCGGCAAATTTAAACAGATAACAGTGGTCACAATTTTGTCTTTCCTCCCGTTTCCTTCAATCTGCTAGAATAATATAAACATCACATCTGTCCATATTCATATTGTTCCACTTAAGAAAACACATCCCTGTGAATTGAAAGTCATGACTACGTGGATATTTGAAAGGAAACGCATCAGAATTTTCCACTGAAGATCTTACATAATGAATGAATAAACTGTTAGTGTTTCTTGAGAGCCTGATTTTCCATCCGCCCCTCTTCCGAAAAGTGCAATACTGCAACACAGAAAGGCGTTTATAAAGTAATAACACTGATCTGGTCATTGTGCAAACAGGATCAATATTGGTGATTGACCACAAATGTTTCTGACCGTGCTCAATAGCGATATGGTACCAAGAGTCAGTTAGGAACAAGATTACCCTCTACTACAGCATCAAAGAGAAAATTTCGAAAATATTGAAACATTACTCCTGGCAGTCAATTACAATCACTTATTTTAATACGTTTCAGTGGACAGGAGGCTAATATCAGTAAGAAGTTACATGGTACGTAGATTTTCTAGCTACAGCCGTTGCATACCAAGCTAAACTACGAATTTGTTTCTATTGTATGTTCTTCTAACCAGATGATTACCAGAATTCTGCTTCACTGATTGATACCTTGGTGTTCCAGGGACTTCCGTTCCACATTACTGTATGCATTACTTATCTAGTGTGCAATCAATAAAAATAAATATATCTCAATAAAATAAGGTTGAGGGATTTGTGATGAGTCCCATTTTCATACAGTTATAATTAGTTACCTGAGGTTCTACATCAAGTATTGCAATTAGTCCCTGCTCATGGATCTTTCGTATTGTTTCCAGTTTTGTCCCATACATTGCATCCTCATGGCTGCCATATTCCAAATATTCATTGTTTGATATATCCTGCATCATTTGGTCATGTGATACAAAGTAGTAATTTTTCCCGTTTTCTTCATCTTTCTTTGGAGGTCGGGTTGTGTCTGAAAATACAAAATATTTTTAGTACAAATATTAAGCTTATATATGGCTTTTTGTTTGGTTTATCAACACTTACTCATGGAATGATGCCTTGTCAAATCACAGATAGAACAATGAAGCATGGACTTGAGGTACGCAGAATGACAGGGGCTGGGAAAAGCAGGAGTCTGGAGGACGTGTGTTGGGAAAAGCAGGAGACGAAGGGATGTGGAAAAGGTAAAAATCAAAAGGTAACAGAGGAAGAATGGAAGGCCATAAATAACCTTTAACTGGTCAAGCCTATAAGACTCTACCAGCTGCTTTCAACAGCAAAAAAAGGACAGATCCGGTTTTATAGTTTCTAAACAATTCAATTAACATCTCTATTTCACCTCAGGGGTCAGTACTGGGCCTAATCCTGTTCAATATCTTCATTAATGATCTGGATGATGGGGCAGAGTGTACCCTCAGCAAGGATACCAGTGATACAAAACTGGGAGGACATGCACCAGAGGGTCGTGCTGCCATCGAGAGGGACTTCAACAGGCTGGAGAAATGGGTTAACAGGAACCTTGTGAAATTCAACAAGGGCAAGTCCCAAGTCCTACACCTGGGGAGAAACAACCCCATGCACCAGCACATGCTGTGGGCTGACCAGTTGGAAAGCAGCTCTCCAGAAATGGCCCTGTGGTGGTCCTGGAAGACACCTAGTTGAACATGGGCGAGCAATGTGCCCTTGTGGAAAGAAGGGTTAAAGGTATCCTGGGCTGCATTAGACAAAGTATTGGCATCAGATGGAGGGAGGTGATCCTTTCCCTGTAGTCAGCACTGGTAAGGCCACATCTGGAGTGCCGTGTCCAGTTCTGGTCTCCTCAGTACAAGAGAGACATGAACATACTGGACAAAGTCCAGTGAAGGGGCACTAAGGGACTGGAGCATCTCTCCTATGAGGAAAGGCAGAGAGAACTGAGACTTTTAAGCCTGGAGAAGACAAGGCTCAGGGGGAATCTGATCAATGAGTACAAATGTCTAAGGAGAAGGTGTAAAGAAGATGGAGCCAGTCTCTTTTCAGTGGTGCTCAGTGACGGGACAAGAGGTAATGGGCACAAACTGAAACATGGGAGCTTCTGTCTGAATGTAAGGAAACACTTTTTCACTGTGAGGGTGACTAAGCAGTGGCACAGATTGCCCAGAGAGGTGGTGGAGTCTCCATTCTTGGAGATATTCAACCTGCACACGGTCCTGGGCAAGTGGCTCTAGGTGGCCCTGCTTGAGCAGGGGTGTTGGACCAGATGACCTCCAGAAGTAGGGACCTCAACCATTCTGTGATTTTGTAGGCCATCTGCTCTTCTTTTCCCCATAGGCACGCTTTTATCCATTTGCTTCTCTGTCTTCTAATACTCCCTCACAAACTGATTTACTTTCATATTTTTCCACTATCATATTTATGTTGGTGACATATCGGAAACAACGCATCTCTTCCCAATCTAATCCCGTATCTCCCAACAACCCTATCATCATTTCAAACAAGGTATCCAAAAATTGAACTCATCTTCTCTCTTTAATTATACCTATTACTGTTCCGAGGATTAATTAGCATATTTCAAAGATGAAAAGTTCTATAGCAATATTATAGATCATAGTTATTATTTTAAGGAATTCAAGAACAATGGATTATATAAACCACGTAATATCACTATACTACTCACTGCTGCCCTAGGTCTACTGAACTTAATTATTTCTGTATTTCCCCCAAATCCTCTTCTTTTGTGAAAACAGTTCTTTATTTTATTTTTTTAACTTAAATTCTATGAGGTTTTCTTCTTCTGAGTGTGAAAGCGTAAGTCTAAAAAGTGCGCAAGGCCTGATTACTTGTGGTCAAGAGAGATGAAAGCTACTTAGCAATAACATACTTTTAAAATATATTGCTTCTGCAGACCTGTGTGGTAAGAGATGTATGGCCTACTAATCCTTTAAATTAACTACCATTGTGTGTGACACGACCTTTACGATCAGGTTTTCAGGAGGAGATAATTTCTTCACAAAGCATTCTCCAAAAATCACCCAACTTAAGGCCTATCTCAAAAGCTACCTACTCCAACCAGGATTTTGTAAAAGAATGCAGAAAATGCAGTAAAATCCATCCCTGAGAGCTGGAGAGAATAAATTGAATTACCTAGAGTCAGCTGAAAGACAGAGCAGGTTCCCATAATACTTAAAGTGTATGTGATATATTTTATATGATCTATTTATATCACTAACATAAGGAAGTAATTTGGGTCTCTAAACACCAGCATAAAATGCAACTTTAAATGCCCTAAATGCCTTAAATCTGAAGGAGACCATTGCTCTTCTGGAGTGGGGCTGGAGGTCAGGTGATGTCTAAAACAGGCATCTAAACATCATACTGATGCCTAAGTACCTGCATTTCATCCCAATTTGCAGCCTAGTCCTTTTAGTCTTCTTATATAACCAGTGAAGCAATTTCAGTGCTTTCACAGAGCCGGAACCTATTGTAGGCAATCTAAGGCATGGTCTTCACTGTACAGGTGAGTGCATTTTAACAGATATTTTAAGATAAAATAACTAGTTCAGCTTCTACCTCCCCAGAGCAATACAGCTAGCACTTGAGAGAAACTGGATGAAAAACATACTGGAAAACATTTATGGCTCTTTGTTTTAGTTCTTTGTAATGAAGAACATATTTGCTGGCTTACTACTCCCTTGCCCAACATAATCTTGTCTCTATTGAATAACATATGTACAAAGTACATCCCATACTCCTGGCACTGCACTTTTAAAGTGTTTAATCCAGGATTTTAGCATCTAGATATAAACAGCAGCGTGACAAACAGTGCAGTTTCACATTGCTGCTGTGGTGGTCTAATGGCTCATGCTTTCAAAAGGGCTAGGTCTTTCTGTTTTCCTTCTCTGGCACTGGTCTTTGTCTAACTCCTCAGCAAGCAAGCCTGGAGAATTTAAATCATCAGCCAACTAATCCTTTCTCCCTTCCAAATAAGTTTACAGGTAAGTTCTTAAAACCAGTACTTTTTGGCAACAACAAAATCCTTATAGGTAGAATAAAACTAAGTGTAAGTTTAAAGTAAAGCACTAACAAGTTATAAAGAAAATTAAATTAATGCATAATGGCTGTCAATGTCACTTTTTGAGCCATGTATGGTGTTCCTGAAGTCAGCCTGAAACAGAGTGGACAGAGTTAGATGCTGGATGCTCTTGTTTCAAAATGCCTAGTTTGAGGAAAAAGGGTGCATCTCCAAGAGATCATGTAGTAGGATATGCTATTCCTGCTACGGTATTAACAGAGATCATCATGAAGGGAAAACACTCCTGTGCTCTCCGTAACAACCCGCTTGTAAGCAGCGAAGTTAACTGCATTTTCTTTTTCTTGTTGCCATCTCTGGAAACTTCGAGTTATTTTAGTATAATACCAGTCCTCAAGGCTAGGCTGTGAAAAGTGATTTAAAACATTCAGGTAAGGTACACATTAAAGGTTTCATATAAATCCAGTTTATATTTCTTCTCACAGGAACTATACAGTCTTAAATGTCAAGGCTGTTCCAGTCTTACCCGAACTTAAAATGTAAAATTAGCATAGAAAAATGAAAAATGTTTTAGCCTTCTTTCTAAATTAATAAACATTTGGGGTAGAGAGCAGTACGCTTAACAAGAAGTTCTGTGAATATGAAGGAACATTCCATGTAAAAGTGGTACTACTTACTACCCCTTTCTCTGAAAAACCAAAAGAAGAAACATACCCAGTCCTATCACAGTTCCCACCTTTAAGATAGGATTCGTCTCACCAGAGCTGAACACCTGCAGTAGTACAATGGGTGTGTTGTCAAGGATGACATAAACAATTTTGCAGTACATTGAACACTGCTACTTACGGGGAATGGGGTAAGCAAATCTGTCCGGGTGTTTTGTGATGAGCGTGTTTTTTATGTGTCTTCTTCCAACACCATGTGCACCTAATCCATAACACAAAAACAGATTATAAATTTTTTACCAGAAGGGGTCCAAAACTATGCTGTTATTTTCAGAATAATAACACAAAATTACCTAGTAAGACTAGTGTTTTCCTTTTGAATGCTGGCAGTTTTACTACTTCTTCATATGTGACGAGATCTAATTGATCAAACACTAAAACACAAAAGAAACCCCCACAGGGGTAAGAAAAAAAGGCATATTAAGGGTGATAATTAATTGTGCTACAAATTATAATTTTAGCAAGCTTTAGATGTACAATACAAAGTAAATACGTTATGGAAAATAAAACCATTTCATTATGCAATTTTAACAAAAGCGTTCATTTAAAAAAACTGTTAAAAAGCAGTAACAAAGCTACTGAAATGCTCAGGAAAGTTTGCATGTCCTTTCATGCAGTATTCAGCAGACCACAAAAATTAGCTAAAATGGCATGCCATTCACGTTTGCATTCCTAAGAAATAGAAATACTACAGAAAAATCCGTGGACAGTGACCAACATGAATACAATATGAGAACATCTATTTACACTAAAGATAGGGATACTTTCATAATCATGTTTTAACAAGATCTGTGAGATGTATCGAGAAGAGTGTTAATACTTTGTGGTATTTATTCTTCAAAACTACTACGGTATTAATTGTAATTAGAGCTCTCTTTAAACACACATGCTAGTTAAATTGACATGCTTTTGAAACTTGTGACAGCATGAAGAATTCTAACGAAAAGCGATGGCATTACATAAAAGAACCTCCACCATATTTAGGGAAAAATTGTATTATTTCAGAAATAATTTCAACTGCAGTTGAAGTTGGATGAATTCCATCATGCATATCAATCTATTGTCAATTGCCAAGGTATACAATGATTGACAAATCAAGTTTTGTTCATTAAAACCAGCTTATTCCTCCTGTGGCCAATAACACAACAACTCCGGTTCTAATGAAAATAGAAGCCAGGAGGCAGTTAATGATAGTCATAAAGATTACCGCAATCAGCAGTTGTGAGCAGAATAATGAATGAGAGTTTTCAGTTCTGTATTTATGCACGCTATAAAAAGAAGGGAGGAGAGACTGCATCTAAAGTATGGGATCTTTGAGTGTTTCCAAGTCCTAAGCTGGTGTATTCACCTCAATTATATCCCATCCACCTTTTAGGATAAGTCTGGATATATCCCTCTCCCCCTATCCAAAACCCCTTAGGAAAGTAGGCAGTGGTAGCAGCTTTAGTTTCCTTGCTCCAGAAGTCCCCAGCCACTAAGATCAGCATTAAGACCGTGGAGCCTACCAGAAAGCACACGCTTTTTGTGCTAAAGTCCCAGTTAAAGCAACAAAGGATTTAACTTAATGTATTTCTTTTTGTAGGGCAGATTTTTCAATTCAATGGCAGTCTTTTTACCCTAGAGAAAAAGTACCACTACTTCAATTTGGTCAAGCTACAAATTAGTCAATTGACTAATTGACTAATACTCAACTCTTTAAGACATTGAAAAGATACAGACATGAAAACTTCCTAGTCCATTTGAAGCATTTTGAATTTCATCCTAAAAAAGAAACTCTTTCAACCTTTCCCCAAATATTACAAGAAAGAATTCAGTCATGTTTTTCTTCCATTCCAGAAATATGAAATTCTTACTACTGTCCTTTTTGCAACTTCACACTATCTAAACTAATTAATAATTCTTTTCATATTAGAAAGGGTTAAAGACCTACAAAATGTTAAACAGTTTTACCATTCTAACTATCTAGGCCTGCAAGTATCTTTTCCCATTAGAAAATAACTAAATAAATCAATCCTTTACTTTTTTATCGAACAAAACCACACTATGTTAGATACAAACAACAGGAACAAAGAACAGAAATGATACATATTAATGCCTTCATCACAAACTAGCAGCATGGATAAGATGGGTCTCCATCTACATGGATTTAACTAATGATTGTAGGGTTTTCAAATGCAAAAGAAAAAGGATTAATTTTTTAATATACACAAGATATGAGGAATACGGGGCACATTTAAAGACTGATCTTTAATGCTTCTGTGTTACTAGCTAATAAAGAAAAGGAGTTCTTGAAAAGAAACAGTAAGAAGCAAATAAAGAGGCATTGTCACTTGACAGGTTACTTACATGCACAGAGGCCATTGGGAGTAAGACAGCATGAAAAATGTACAGGGGTCATTGAGATATGGCTTGTAATATATTAGTAAAATAAAAAGTATATGCACAAAATAAACTTTACCATGCAATAGTCTAAACACAAGGCAAATAAATCACATTAAGAAATGATAAACATATTTTATAAAAGCTTGGCAATTTTCTACATTATGCATAATACAAAGCATAGTTCTAGTATGTTCTAAAGAGCATTCTTTTTTGAAGTCCTGCAATAACGCCTCAGTAAAATATATAAAAAATATATAAAACTGTCAATGAACCTAATAATGAAAAATATTTATTTTTTTTTTTCCGTGGGCTTTGCTTTAAAACTAATTTTACAATGATAAGACGTACAATTGTGAAATTGGCTCTTGAAGGACACAATACTCTAATATCAAGTATGGAGGAAAGAAAAATGGGCTATTTTTCTTGTAAAGGAGAACATATTTGCTTTTAATCATAAAAAGTAACTGAAATATTCCCCTCTCTATTTCACAAACTATGTCCGATTTGCAGAATAATTTAATTTCTAGTTTCAATAATATCCTGATATATCACACCAAAATCTTAGTTCTCAAATCACTAGTTAGCCACACAAATCTGTTTTTCATTCTGAGACAAATACACTGAAAGTTTGCAAAAGCCAGTGTTGCTGAATTTCTGACTAACAATACCAGACGTGATAGAGTAGTTCTGAGAAGGTAAACTCAGTACCACCTTAGTTAAACTTAAACTCACGAGAGCACCATAGCATTTCAGTGAACCTCTTTATATCCTACATTTGGCGTCATTCCCTGGCATATTCCTGGCATCACTTTTAATACCTCAAGGACACAAAGATCAATAAACATTTCTATGAGAAATCTTGATTCCAATCTGCACTTCCATTAACTTTTTCAACTTCTTAGGGGGAAGGGGAAGTGTCAGATGGCATTCTGAAAAGAACAGCTTCTTTTATGGTCATTATGATAATTTTTAATGTTCATGTTTCTAATTTTTGGCAAACATTGTGCTCTGATGTAAAGTGACTAACAGCAATGATGGTGGCCAGCATTAAGGAAGACAAACTGTGTGACTCAAAGTGCTGTCAACCTTCTCCAAAATGTCCTCCCTACATCGAGGCAGGAAAGTCTAGATTACCTATCTTTCAGGGATTTAATTGATACAAAGTCTTTGCGCTAGTTGTGCTCCTAAAGTATTGCCTGCTCCTTCCCCTTCCCTGGACATCCTCTTTCCTTTGCTTACTCCTTTGTAGCATGCCGTGCTCAGTCACACTGACATTATTAACTATGTAGTCGTGCTGTGAACTGTATTAAGAAATGTATCTGCCCTGAAGAAAAAGAATCGACATCTTTTGTTGGGTTGTTCTTCAGTTAATCCAGTTGCCAGCATGGCCACGCAAAGTTATACAGCCACAACTGAAGGGAGTAGCAATGCTGTGGGAATGTATGCATATTTGATAATACTTTAAAACCAGTATTGTCAAAGACTTTAGGTCAGAAAAATCCAGTTTATTCTCAACAGTTTTTGTTAAGGTCATAATTACTAAAACACGGTTTAGTGCTACTGCAATGAAGTGGAAACATTGAAACAACGAGAACCTTAAACCAGCAAAAGGAAGGAAACAAGTCAAAGCTTTCAATTTCTACTTGTAAGGGTTTTCAGGGTAACGAGTAGTTTTAAATTTAACTGTGAACATCTTAAACGCGATGGTGAACTAAGGATTACAAATGACAGTTATTGTTCTTTGACCTTCTTAGGTTATATATTCAAATTACTTTTAAGTAAACATAAATTCTGTAGTACTGATACATTATGAGCTCTGATACTGCATGCAGATTGCACGGGTAAGGAGAAATGTGAAAATACAGATTTATGTTGTTTAATTGGTGCGTTCAAGAATGTAACTGAAAAAACACCAGAAATTAATGCAATATAAAAAATACTTTCATTACACTGTTTGGACAGGTATGTCTTTTAATTCTAATAAAAATCTCTGCAAGTCTCCCAAGAGACCACAACAACACATTTATCATCACAGTATTTGATATCAATGCAAAAGCAATAGAAACAGTTTCAACACATTGAGTATTTTGTATTAAAAGAACTAATTTCCGCTCATGAATGAAGGGGTCTTCCTTCTTTACTACTAGAACTAGTGAATTTTGCTCAGCAAAGATCTCTTACTCTACACTTCTACTTCCAAAATTTTCTAAAACAATTCAATTTTTTGGCAGTCTAAATAGAAAACCAAAAATTAGGATTCAGGCAGAAATCACTGCAAGGAGTATAAACTTCCAGTTTGTTCTGTTTGGTAACTGTGAATAACACAGTGACAGTGGAATGGCTCTTATTCTACTTCCAGTTGTAATGCTTCAAAAAAATGCCCTTTCTTGATGTTTTAACGTATATAATCTATAACTATACACATATATTAACAAGGATGCTACTGAAAAGTCTTCTGTAGAGCACAGCACAGTTATATAGATTCGCAAAATTCATATCTTGTTGGTTTCTAGTCCTCCTTTAAACATAAAAACCAAAAGAGCGTAAGCCTCTATTAGGATATATTATGATGCATCTATTTAGTTACAGCTTGCCTCTCACTGATTAAGCTGTATGTTTAAATAGCAAAGAACAAGCAGAGCAATGTTGGTATAATTAGAATTTTACTTATATTTTCCTAAGTAACTCATTAGGTTTCTATAACAGCACCAGCTGAACAAGTAATTGGCAAGGTTTAGATTGTAAAAAATAGCTGTTAAAAATACTTGCATTTTTTTCGTACCTGCATTGTGCTTTGCCAAATATTTGTCTTTGTACTGCTTTTTTTTCTTTCCAAACCAAGTACAGCTGGCCTGTTGCTCCTGTTTAGTCTTCTCCATGGCAATACAAGCAACTCGCCTGGCATATGAAGGAAAAAAAATATTTTTTTGTTGTAATCAAGATATTTTTAAAAATCCACACAGAATGAATTAGAAAAATAATACTTTTTAATAGTACAAGAGTACAGCAAAACTTTTCAAAATGCTTTTTTGATGACTTAAAAGCATTTATATACATAGGTATTTTGTTACAAAGAATATCTTCTTAGTGGTAGACCATTAAAGCTCACAGATCAAGTGAGCATGGGAGGAAGGGTAGTTACTAAAACGGCTGTAGACTCCTTTGCAGCAGATTAGACTGGAAGAGCATGAGCTCTGAGAAGACCACTATGGTCTAAATTACTTCAGCGCAAGTTGTGTTGTGCTGTGGAACTGTTTTGAGGTTGATCTTTAGGAACAAGTACCACAAGTGTTCCTGTGGCAATGTATAGCAGGGTCTCCCCTATGTCACGGCTTACAAAGGAGCTTTTGAGACTGAATGAAATGTCTTGTCTACTTCTACTTCTATTCTAGCAAAATCTCCTGTAGCCAGTCCAGGTGGCAGAGGTGCTGTTAAACTCTTTACAGCACTCTAATCCTTTTATGTGGCAAATTGTGTATGAAATATTTTGGGCTAGATTATCCACATTGATAAACTGTCTTAAGTTATGGCCATAACTTTCATGGCCCAGGACTTGCTTGCCAGAGTTTGTGCTGATACATTCAAAATATTTACCAAATGGCTTCTGCAAGAGGTTGTTGAAAGGCTCTGCATTGCTTTTGCGGTACTCAGTGCCATTGATGTTCATTAAATCAGTCATTCAGGAATCTTTGCACTGTGACTTCTTTCTACTTTTTTGCTTTCACGTGAAAAATGAAAAGGAGAGAAATCTCCAAAACTCCCTGAATTACTTTTGTGCTTGATGTCTGGCTAACAACTTATTCTTGCAGCACTTGCATGTAAGCAGTACTAATGAAAACACTATTTAGAACCTAAAAGAGAAATTAATTTGACCCCCCTTACATAAACAATTTGTACGTAGCCTTCAATCCTAATTTCCTATAGTAGTTCAGAAAGCACAAACAATCTTTACTAACACAAGTGTTTATTTTTCTAATGCAACCACACATGTGATAATGCATGCAACTCTTACTGCTATGCATATAAGAGAAAAAAAAACAACAATGCCACACAAGTCGAGGCAATATATAGCCTTTTTTTTGGAAAAAAAAAAAAAAAATACAAAAAGTAGCTATACAACAATGAAAAGCATGAAAGACAGAAATAAAAGCAAAGCTAAATTCATTTTTATAGAAAACTTAAGTCATACCATTCTTGAAGTTCAGGAGAAGGAATAAGACCTGCAGTACCATTTTTGGAGTTCTCAAGTTTACCCTGCCACCAGTTATGATCATCTTTGCTTATGATTTGGATAATATCACCAACTCGGAATCTGATGCCAGCTTCTTTGCAAGGAATGAGGTCATCCTTTGCTGGATCATATTCAAATTGTGCTCTTACATATATCTATAAAAAAGAGTTTATAAAAGACACTGCGCTATTATTACTGGTACAGTATGAAGAGTAACAGGTGAAAATTTGATCTGTGCATGTAGCTACACATACTGTTTGCAACAAGCAAAGAAACAGAATGGCAAAAGCGTAGTGATAGTTGAAAATGAAACAGAAAAAAAAACCCAGAGCAAACAATAGAGACATATGATGTTATTTTGAAAGCTCATGTTTTCTACATACTGAACAGCAAAAATTAATATATGTAATAGACTGATAAGAGTCCGTCAAATCAATATTAACGAGCATGAACTATTACAGACTACAAGCCAGCAGCTTACAACTTGAACTGTACTGTACTTTCCAACTGAAGTCCCATGATATGCTTTAAAAACTTGTATGACAGAAAATTTTACTGGACAGTATAAAGGACTTAGGCTACATTATTGATCTTTAGTATTTAGACTGAAAATTCAGTACCTTTTTAAAAGAGTAAATAGGAAGTCCGTGTTGCACCTATTACACAGTTACCTGGGAAGAATCTGGGAATTCTTTGCATGAGTTTTTCAGTAAAAGCTCCCATATAAATGAAAACTAACGATTTGGATAAGTCATTCTCCAAGGAACATTAACAGAAAGAATTCAGATTCTGACTTCACAATTAAAATGATTTACCAATCCTTACTTTGTGTGTTAGTGAGGTCTCAACCCTAGAAAATAAAGTAAGCGATTGCCAGTTTCGGTTGCTAATTACAGACCTGATGCATCCAAAGATCTTAAACTCATAACTGAATGTCATGTCCAAGATGCGTCATTTCCACAGTTTACAAACTCCAAACATCATCAAACAAAGCAGCCATGTATATTCTACTGCTGATTTTCTTACTAAAAATTGTCTAGATCTTTTAAAAAAATATTACATCGCATTCCTTCAGTTAAACTGTAACAAACACTTTTCAACTTTGCTCAAATTTTGCTCCAAAAATAGCTGTAACTATGTATTGTTAGGACTATTCATGGCACTTTAAAAAGTTCATTTCTATAGTAATCCAATCTGCAACCCAAGATATGAATAAAGCAACTTTAAATGGTTAATCACTGCTATCTCGTACTTGATGCGTTTTTCTGTTTACAGTGAGAGCATCAGATGATAATACCAATATGGAACTCAACTCTTAATATACTAAATCTGACCCTTGTTCTGCTGTGCATTGAGTGTGTGAGTTTAGAGAAGTAATCCAACTTCTTTTTATCACCTGAAAAATAGAGGATTTTGAAACCAACTACATTTATTTAGTAATTGTTTTTCTATGAAGTAATTGGCTTTCTATAAAGTAATCAGTATAGAACCAATCCCTTATTTCCCCTCCACCTTATCTAATACAGGCCTAGAAATGTTAAGTAGTATTTTTATCATCTAGAAACTTCCTTGTTTTTCAAGTCCCTGCTCCAGTTTGAGCCATTATCCACCATATATTGGCAGTTCATGGAACATACAGAGCTCCTTACGGATAGCAATGTATCTGTTATCCAAACCCTTACTGTCTTCAGGGATGACAAGCTACCAGGGAAAAGACTCTTGAAAAAAAACAGGTAACTATAAATGGTGTGAGTATGAGGAACACCATTATTCTGATATTGCCTTGAACAAAGTCTCTCCTCCTGGGAAAAATACCTTATGAGAGGCAAACAAAAACCTAAGACAAAAGCTTGGAAGGTCTTTCATGGAGCTTTTCAAGGATTACATTCAGGCAGCTGGAAACTTTAGAAAACAACAAGAAGTTGGAAGAACTATATAGCTGTAAGCTTCAAAAATGGGAAACTAAGAGCGAGCAATGTATTCTTGTAACAGATATTCCAGCCAACTTAACCAGACAGTAGTATAAAAAGATTTTCAAAGACAACAGATCATGGACTCAATTGACTCTTTTGAATTGAATTGCAAGAGTAGTTATTAAAACCCTTGGTAGAGAGAGAGGTTGAGTCCACGGTTAAAGATGCAGAGGCAGACTCTGGAAGGGCTATATATAAATGGAGCAGTTACTGAAGATGAATTACAAATCACTTGATGGTATGTGTTGACTTGGAGGCTGCAGTAATAAAAATAAATTCTTAAAACTGCAAAGGAAATCATAGGGAATCCTCTGCAGAGCCCATAAGGGCTTTCTTGGAATTCTCTGGAGAGGGAAGATCTTTCTTTGGTTCATGAGGACATGTACTACCATCAGGTCAAGGTAACAAAGTTAAGGGAGGTTACTGAATCTGGGCCTTAGGACTGAAAATTTAAGAGGCTATCTTCAGACTTAACAGAAACTGTCCTCAATGTTTTTCTTTCAAGAACGTTGTTAATAATTAGTTATAGACCAACTCAAGCTTTAGAATCTTTGTCAGTACAATGTTTTAGAGCAGAGTATTAGACACTTGCCCTACTAGTCTCCATTTCAGCTAACATATAAATTTGAGCTTTCCTCTAAGATGAAAATCTGCACAGGTCACTGCACAACAGTAAGTCTATTAATGCATTCTGAACTAAAACAACATCTCCAGTTAAAGTTAGATTGACTTTGTAATTCTCACACAGATGGACACATGGAAAAAATGCTATTTTGAATTAGCCACAAACAAATGAGTTAAAAAGAAAAAACAAAAAAAAAATGAAACAAATTTTCCAAGCTTAAATGTTTTAGTCCAGCACATACAGAATATGAGGGGGAAAAAGATAAGCAGGGATGTTCACTAGCAGCTAAGTTTACAAAAATTCCCATGGAGGATATCTATTCACCTGTCGTCCTTTTGGTTGTGTTGTCGATGGCAAGTCCTGCAGAATAAAGTCAACCCAGGAGAAGAAATTTTCATTTTACTTTTTAAGGGTATACAACACCATTTGTTAGTGATTCATACTATATTACAGTAAAATGGTAAGTCAGACAAAAGTATAAAGCGTTCACCCATGTTTAGAAATGTTTTTTTTTCTTAAAGAAAATTCAAACCCAGGCTGTTTAGCAGCAAGCTGAAGAAAGCAGGTAAAAAGTTTAAGCAGATAAAGAATGTGCTTTTTAATAAATAATTCAGCATCTTCAACACAAAAGCACCATCAAGTGAAAGAGGCTCTTTATGTGAATGCCTTTTCCACTTAATACTTAGTCTTGTTTTTAAAAGAGAAGGATGGCTTTCATAAATATTAAAAAAATTATTATTAAAAATGTATAATGTGATTAATTGTGCCAAGGAATAAGATTATAACTACTAATAATGTTACAAATTCAATTTAATTCACAACAATTTCTTAAATTTTTCATCTACACAATTATTTTTATTGTATTAATAATAAGCACTTTACCTTGTGGCAAATAATTTCTAAGTTGTAATTTTTTTAATAGGTAAAGGAGTAGTTACTTGCTTTTTTGTTGTTTTTTTTTTTTTTAGCTAGTCCCATGAACTCGTGATATTGACAGCATTCTTACTGAAGGAACTTGCACGTATAGTTACCACATTGGTCCAAACAATGACAAATGATAAACAACACAAATTTTAACATTAATATGCTTTAGAAAAACAGGAGATGAACAGCACCTTTCTACCTGAATACCTATGAAACAGAAGTACTTTGTGTTAAAGATGTGATGATAATAGCTTGGTTTGTAGTGCAGTTTAAAGCCACTTCCTTTTGCTTTTCATATCCAGGCAAGGCTCATATGTCACAAAGTATGTGCACGTACCACAACAGCAGAGGGCACACCAATTCGTTAACTCAGATAGCGGAAACCAGTACACGTTCCAGAGGTCTCTCGAAACACAAAACTTAAAAAAAGAGTCTAAAATGTCTTGAAATACCAACTGCACAGTTATTCTTTCTTCAAACACTGCTTCCAAAGTTCAGGATGGAAAGAAAACTTCCACTTTAAAACTTTGCTTAGTTTTGAGGAAACTGCTAACAATGATTTAAGGATAACTGAAGTGTCACATTACAGTTATTAACATTTAACTCACTATATGGCTTTTAATGAGTAGAATATGTTGGAAAAAACCCTTAAAAAAAAAGAAAATGGGGAGTTACGTATGTAATAACCTTGGTTCTATCACCAGGACAAAATTTTCCACTGACCACATGATAAGTATAACAGTAATGGCAGATGAGCACCAACAAAACTTTCACACTTTCTCTGTGTGGAACTGGAAATCTTACCGAAACAGAATTGTTAGTGCTGCTATGACCATTAGCTGGGGACTGTCTGGATGTAGAGGGGGAATCTCTCTGAAATAAGACACAAGGTTCATTAACAACACAACACTATCACAGGAACACATATATTTAAAAGAACAGTTACATCCACAGCCTTGTAACCATTTGCTTAGCTGCTTCATCCGTGAAAGTTTCCCCACTACAAACTCCGTAAATCTGAAAAGTTTTTCCATAGTTTAAGATTCAGGTCTGACATTTTGATGTATCCTAGGTAGTAACTATTTTTATATCACTTTAGCAATCAAACAGCTTCTTTATTACTGAGTATCTGGGACCTCTTAGGTCTCACATGGCTGACAATGCTAAAGGCCATTAGTCTTACTGGTGTCTTTGTTAAAAGTAATTACCTGAAAGTTATATGCTGAATAATACTTTGAATAGAATGAAGCACATGTTCCATTTTAAAGATGCTTCTAAATCTCTTTGCAGCTATGTGGCAGAGGCTAGTGTTGATCTTACTCTGTAAGATGCATCTCTCCGCAGTGCCTCAAAGACACTGAAGCTAACACCTGAGAAGGGAAATGGATACTCTCTTCTCCCTCCTCATCCCTTTTACAGCACACTGAGGTTTTTTTCCTCCAACATTTTTATGGTCTTAAAAGTATTAAACCTCGTCAAAATACATCACTTTCAAAAAGCTGCCCCTCTTGACTCAGACTACCAGTGTGGTCCTACACTTCAGTGAGGAGACAGCAGATGCAGAGTGCATACCAGGAAATTCTTCAGAAAGGATAATGGGAATTTCTGACTGGGTTTTGCAAAGGCAAGGATGTCACTTGTAGAACAATCTTTTTCACAGGCCATTTTGATTGTATAGTACTTAATTCCATAAGATCAGATAATTGAGCCACCTCCTCAGGAAATAAAATAATTCACTCACACATTGTGGGAAAAAAAAAAAATCCCCTTTACCTCTAAAGAAATTTTGGAATATAGTATTCCATGTCAAAGGTCAGTTTAGGAATGTCTGGTAATTTTGCATAACTTCAAGGACAGCAGAAAAAAAGGGCTAAAACTGTTTTCAAATAAAACAAAGTTATTTCTGTCACATTTTATCAATATAAGTGCCCTTTGTGAAGAAGTTAAAAACCAGAATTGGAGCTGAACTGTTCATGCAACATTAATCAGGTAAAGGTCCTCTACTAATATTCTCAAACTTACACTAATCACGTGATAGCACTCACACCTATGTTAAAGCACCAGAAAAGTTAAAATGACAGGCAATACTTTATTCCTCTTGCTGCCTGCACGCTTGATGTACAACAAAGTCATGTGGAACTTCGGCACTTTTTTGTGAACTCATTAGATACGATTGCACAGAAAGTTCCATATGTAGCTAGATGCTTACTTTGATTTTAACACAGTTGAGGACAGATCTGACAATATTATGGCTATAAGATCACTGTGTACTTCTGCTACATGCATAAGAACAAAATGCTCATTTGGCTCCCACAACTATTTGCAACACGTAATGGACTGGGGGAAATCAACTCTAATTCTATTTACAAAACCACTCCAGCTTAACATGTTTAAAATGTTCAAATGAGATCAAATAAGCTATTCATTACTGAAAAAAAAAAAAAATGCCTAAAGGAAAAGGAATCTTTTTTTTTTTTTTTTTTTTTGGTGTAAGGGATTACCAGCATCATCTTTATCAAACAGCAGCTAGGAGATACTTTTTTCCAAAAAAGCAGTGATTTCATTTTTTTAATAAAGAGATTTTCTGCTTGTTCTACAATTCTGTCTCTGCCATTTTCTCACTTTCAAGAAGAGGTGAAAAATTAATATTACCCTTTTTTTTTTTAAAACCTAGTTTGTTACGATCTGCTAGTCAGTGATGGTTCAGCAAGGGAAAGCTTTGGAAAGTGATGTAAGCACCCAAGTCATTTGGAGAAAAGCAGGTTCAGAGCAATGTGGAAAATGCCACTATTTCTGGACTCTCTTGAAGGCTTCTTCCTTTGAAGGAAATTTTCCTAGTTTGAGAATGTTTTGATGTGTATTCCTCCAAAAATTCTCAACGAAGACAGCACATTACTCGAGGCAAATGTTCATAACATACGAGGAAAATACACATTTTCAATGCTATTGGTGATTTCAGTACTAACTGTAGAAAACTAATCTGTCAAGTTAGTCAACAGGCCTATGTACAATCTTTAAATAATTAGGCAGTTCACCTACAATTTCAAAGGCATTTAGATTCTTAATTTCCTAAAGACCTGGTCTTTCTTTCCAAAAATATCAGACTCAAGTCTAATGAGAAAAATCAATGAGTGGAGATGCTTGGACCGCTTAGAAGTGGACTGGAAAACTTCAGCTTTGGTTGAGAGTTTGTTTCTCCAGTAATTCAGAAAAAACCCTAGCTCTCCTGGGGATAAGCTCAGAAGTAGTGTAGAAGTGTTATAATCACATTTCAGTGTAACTTGATGACCTAGACTTCCCAACCTTGTCTAGCCCCAAGCCAAGTAACAAAATGGTAGTCCTTTGGATCCTTGCTCTTCAGTTGAAGCCTTAGAGGAAACAATCACAATTATTTCCAAATGATGGCAAAACTAGTTTCCTGTTGATTCCTTATTCTTAGATGTGGATTATGAATGATAAATCAATGCATCTGAGGTGCAATCCTACAGCAGAAGTCAATTATGTCTACGAGATGTGGCCTGATCAAATTAGATACTGACAGGAACACCTAAACTAATGACACTATTGCCAGATTCATGAGGAAAAAAAAAAAAAAAAAAAAAAAAAGAAAAAGAAAAAGAGAGACTTCCCAAAAACCTGAAAATACATTTCAATTTCAGTCTTGCTCAAGGAATCTTTCTGGCCATATTTTTGACACAAATACTAAAAAGGCTTCAGAGTATAAAAAGTCTTACAGTCCGAGCACTAATGGAAACATTGCAAGACTAAAGTAAAAAATACATAGTGATTACCATCAGATATTTAAAATCTCAGATATATAAAGGCTTTTCTTCTCAATGAAACAACATAAGTGTTTCATGAAGACAATCTGAAACATAAAGGATGTTTATAAGGAAAGTTTTTTTGTAAAAAAAAAAAAAGTAAGTACTTCCCTTACCATTCTCACATATCTGACATTATGATAAGTTACTCAGGGTGTTTTCTCAGTAGAAAGAACGCAAATGTAGCTAGAGCAAAAGGCTTACTCAGTTGGATAAACAGCATCATCAGACATAAGGAGAATGTGTTGCAATAAATACTTGTTCGTATTTATGTAAGTCTGTAATTTCCTGGGTATCTGAAGTAGAAAACACAACACCCTGGCCACCATGTTATCTGGATATCTGAGTAACTCAGGCCATTTGCCACACCAGTGACTAAACAGGTCATCTCACAGTAGATAGCTGATCATGTTTTTATACAAGAGAATTCGTAAGTAGTATGTTTTCAAACGAAGTCTACTCCATGAAATCGAAGGCCTGGTAACTGAATGGAAGGCATGGGTGCAGGAAAAGCCACAAATCCCTAAGAAACTCGAAATTATTCAGCTAAGATTTTGGAAACTGCCCAGTGCCACTGAAGTACCATTACATACTACAGGGACAAGACTTCCCTAAATACGCAAAAGTGGCTTAATATTTAGAAAACGCCACTACAACACTTCTCTTAAATGCCTACAAAAGAAGAAAAATATGGCAAGTGAAATGCAAATCTCAGTTATTCAAAAAACCAACATCCTGCGTGCTGCTGCCCCCCGCCCCCACCTTGTATATAAAGGAATATAGACAGATTCCATACAAAAGGCAGATCAACTCCAATTCTAGTAATATTTAGTTTTTCTTATTCAAGATTATCAAGATGTTTTCCAATCCAATGATGTGATCATGGTAGGAGCCTGAAAAATATCCCAGTTATCGATTCTGTTTTATATTCCTCTTCCGGTAAAACTATACTGCGTGAGCACCAGTCCATGACTGAAGGGAAGGGGTTAACCAAACATAAATTGAAATATTGCCAAAAAGTACCTTAGCTACTGAAGACCCAGTATTTCTAAATGCATTCTGCTAGACAGCATGAGCAGCAACTTTCTGCGTCTTACTAATGTCATTCAACATTCATTTTTAGCCTTTATCAATGGTTAAGAATGATTTATCATCTGAATCACAATCCTGAAAAAATCTGTGAAAAAAATTCTCTCTGTACCAATGGACTAGTGATGCTTTAATAGGATGATGTAAAAATGTTGGCTTTTTGCGTACACTTGTAACAGCTGAAAATCTAACCAAAGCCATAGTGTGGCCGAGCAGGTGGAACAGACTCAGCCTCTGATTAAATGAATGCTAAATATCACAAAGTGTGATAATTAGACATGCTTATTTTTCTTCCTCTGTCTTTGATCACACATTTCTAGCTTTGCTGTTTTTTCCAAAGGAACGTAAGAATCTACTTTCCTGTCTTCTGAGAAATAGTCATGAAGAACCTAAGGACACAGAGCTACGGAAAAGAGACGACCTGCTACTACTACAATGATACCTAATGGTATTAATTTAAAGCTGTATGCTAAATTATTTTTTCCAAATAATCATTGTCTCAGCAGGTCCATAGTTTCACCAGTTTCTGTATCGGGAAGTGAGACATCTTCTATTATTACTGCTATTTACAGCACAGAATTCAACACATAAATCTGTCAGCACACTCTAGAATTTCTATTTGAGGTGGTTTTTTTCTAAAGCCTTTGCATTTCATGAAAAACTTTGCTTTCATGTTTATACCATTTAAGAAAACTGGTCTCATAGGTGAAACTTTGTCAAGCCTTCTACCTCTACAACCTTTTAGTTCTTGTTGACTTCTATTAGAACTGCAGAAAGCAACAAAAAACCAGTAACTTTTTCCTTCAAACAGATTGTTCTGACAATCACAATAGCAGTTTCTGTGTGTTCTAGCATCTGCTGAGACATAAAAACAATTAGGGTGAAATCACAGTTCTAATTAAGATAAGTTGCTTGAAACCCTTCAACAGAGATTGTGATTTCACTCTCAGAATTCTAATTTGGGAACGGTTTGCACAGTTAAGCACGTGGCACAGAAAGACTGGCATCATCTACATAGTGCATATGCCATCTGTATGCTTAAATCGGAACAGTATCTCTCAAGTAGCCATTTTCTAGAATTTAATTCCCTTCGTTTACAATCTGGAACATAACTTTGTGAGCAGAAGGGAATTAAACGTCACTGTGCAAAAACCGTAATACGAAGTTTCTAGTTCAACAAGAACTAACTCCAAAACTGTTTTTCTTCTGTAATGACAAATACCATTTTTTTCATGGAAACATAATAGTAAGCCACATGTAACTGTTACAGACAACCATCACAAATTTACCTCAACAGGGTTATACAGAAACAGATTCTTCAATTAACCCTTAACAGCCCAAAGAGTAAAATAATGTTTAATGCCTAAAAAAGGGAGGATTGTTCCTCAGCTTAGGAACTTTAATAGACTTCCTGGAGAACGAGTTTAAATTGTATTTTTAAAGGGGCTTCCTAAACGCATGAGTTGAGGATCCCCTTTCCTGTATTTTTTTTTAAATAGGCTGTAAAGAGTTAGTTAAGGTGCTGATGAGATGAATATGAAGGCAGGGCTGAGTAGGCAGGTGGGACCTACTCGTGTTCCGTTATCTTTGTTGTAAAATTGGTGTGCGTGATCTAACAGGACAGGCAGAAACAATTTCCCAGAAAGCAGTAACATTCAGCCATCAGCAGGCAGTTAGTTACAGGACTGAGGAAGAAACGGGATGGTTCATTAAATTCATTACCTCACAGGAGGAAGATTGCGTGCGATAACTTGGCACAATCTTAAAGGTAATACTTCCACGCATTTCCCTCTGCAAAAAGAGAAGCATGTCTTTAAAGACTAAGACACTGAAGATAAGATCTACAAATCACTAATGCTTGAAAGGAAAGCATCATAGGTTGGGAGCAGCAGTACGTTTTCCTAAAGGAAATATTCAGAAAAGCTAAAATGCTACAGCTAATTTGTCATTTCACTTATAAACAAACATTTAAATAATCTCTCATTAATCTAAAAAATAAACACACATTATTAGTTTGTTTACCTGACCAGTTTTCAGATGTCTAGAACCTACAGCTGTATTTTAAGGTGAGAGATTCAGAGATGTGTAGGTTTCTTCCACATCAATCTTTTCTTTGTAGCTATATTCTGGTGATCCAGAGTCTTTGATACTAAAGTGACATTTTATTCCCTTTCATCATATATGTTAAATAGCAAAAGTATATTCACAGTTTCTAGAAAGCTGCACGTTACTCTACTAAAGGTGGAAATATAAGAAATAGTCTTTCATCAAAACAGAACATGGGGTCTGCTAATTTGCATTTACTATAGTATAAGAATATTCATAACAAGCAGTAACTGCAGAATAGCTAGAGATTTGCTCAGCCATATTTTCTTAAATGACACTTTGAATATAGGTACCACCACACGGTTGACAACTGCAGGACTCGATCTGGGCAGAAAAGTAAGCAGATCACTTCAAGTGATCTTGGAGTTTTTCCCCTTTCCCTCCTTGTCTGGTTTATTGTGAGCCAAAAAATGCTATTTGCCTGGTCTCACTTAAGCTCGTCTACATGGTTCTGGGCACAACAAAAGGATTAGTGATATCATCCAAGATCCCAAGGTTAGGGTTGTACACAGAAAAATTTGCAAGTGTTATGAAATATCAAACGGACTCTACTAGCAAGGCCCAAGATGGAGTTTTCCTACAAAAAGCCAGGCTGCCTGGGTTTTTTTTCCTTTGTAACATCAATAACCATGAGCCACAACAGTTACAAATTGAAAGAAGGGATGTTCCAGCTCCATATAAGGAACATATTTTTCCCTATGGTGATAATTAAGTATTGGATCAGGTTGCCCAAAGAGGCACCTGTCCTGTCAAATCTCCATCCTTGGATACTTTCAAGGCTTAACCAGACAAAGCCCTGAGCAACCTGGGCTGCATTCCATGCTGACCCTGCTTTTTGCAGGAGATTGGACTGGAAACCTCCTGAAATTACTTCCAACCTGACGTTTCTATGATTTACTGTCTTTGCATTTGTGTAGCAATTATACCAATAGTCAAGAAAAACTTATTTTCTCTCATAGTATACTCAGTGACTACACTTGGTGGAGACCGAAGATTTAAAATAAGGGCATGATCTTTACAGACTAACTTGGGATGAGTAATAGGAAGAAAGCAGTATTTTTTCTGTTATGTTCGCTAGAGACAAGAGAAGAAACTCCTGCATTTCAACGAAGGTAACTCAGACATTAGAAAAAACTTTCTACAGCATAGAAGAGTGATAGACTAAAGTCAACTGCCTGGGGAGTTTGGGGTACCTCCATTACTCAAGTTTTTTTAAGAGCTAGTCAGGCATACATCTGTCAGGAATGGTTGGGTGTGAATGATCTTTTCCATGGGACTAAATGGAATAAATAAAATGATACCTGGAGGTGCCTTCTGCCATTCCTGGCTATAAGGTGCAAAAAAGCCAGTATTAAAAAACAGGGGAGACCCTGTAGAAGGTTTTAACAGCTGAACACATGAAGACTTTGTGTTACGTGCACATGTAGGCTATCAAGAACAGAAGAAAAAGGGGAAGTCGCAATGCAATTCCATAAAAGTTTCATCAAAATAAGACAGGCGCTTTTATAAAGAACAAGAGAATGATTTCAGGCACTTACAAGCATTTTTTGTAGTTGTTCTACAGTTTGATTTGCCACACTGATTCCGTTTATTTCTCGGATTTCATCCCCTACATGTAGCGTACCTGCAGAGTAAACGAAACACACAATCACCTCAAACATGTTTTTACAAATTGAGATAATTGTAAGACAGTACTAATATTCATACAAAGGCATAAATATGATACAATATTAAAATAATTTTTTTGGGGCTAAATTCAGAAAAGGATTTTGGTAGCTAACAAATATTATGAATCTTATCTTCCAGAGTGCAGTCAATACACCAGCATGAGATGCCCAGGCACCCTATAAAGTACATGGGGAAAACTTCAGTCACAAGGACACTGCAAAAACCCCACACATGGAAAAGAAAGTCACCTGCAACTAGTCAGCTGGAAATGTTCAACAGAAGCATTCAGCAGTATTTTATCAGATGACTACTTATTGCAGTTTGGCTTCTGGACATGGTCTTAATTTTATCTGTCAGACTGCTGTTTTTTTTCATTTCTCCGATTTTGATTTGCCATAGCTACAGTATGCATTTTCTGTACGTACACTTGACTTCAGCTTGAATGTAAATGATCGCTCAGATGATGAAACAACTATCTACTTAGCTTAGGTAAGTTATAAATGGCCTGCTGAAGCTGGGATGGGAATGGCATGCTACGACATGGCTCTAAGACACTGTAAAAGCTCAACAGGGAGGAGGCAGCAGATGAATGAATTATCCTCAGGATAAGAAGCAACCTAGGAGGCTCTTTTTGGATGATAACTTCTGATTTGAGTAGCTCAAGGCCACCTAATTCTCTAGCAGTTCTCCAAAAAAACTTCCATGGTTTATTATTAGCCAGAAGACATTTTTCATATATAATGAATTTGACAAGATCATTTACTTCAAATATATTTCTTTCTGCTGTATGATTTAAATAATTTCTACAAGTATCCTTTTCTAAATACTGTACTTAATACAATTACTGTACCTAACATAATTAAACTTACTTGGAAAACCAGCAACTGCCAAACATTTCCTAAACTAAAACATACCTGTGGAAAATTACCTGAAAAAAGCCAATCAACTAGAATCCTCAAAAATCCTTAAAATTCTTTTTCCCGAACCAAAAGAGTCAGTTTTTCCAAAGAACATCATGCGAGCAAACCTTTCAGCTGGACAAACCTATGAAAATCAAACTGTGTGCTGCTAAACACAAGCACAGCCTGAACCAAGGAGAAGGATTCTGAACAGCTCTGTAGCTGTGATTCCCTTCGGGCTCTCTTCTGTGAAACAGAAGCTCACTTGGCAGTGCTACAGGAGAGAGCCCGAAGTTTACAAAAACTTTCAGTACTCTCAAGTGTAAGGCGTTCAGCCACATTAAATGCTCCAAACAATTCTACAGGAGCTGATCTGCTGATAGTGAAATTACAAAAAAGGACCCATCACAATTCTTCTTCCACTCCTCAGTGGAAAAACTGTCACAATTAAGAGTTTACTGAATGTGAACACAAGAGTCCTGCATCTGAATTTCAAATTCATCTAGTTCACACCTAGAATAGTAATGACCAAATCTCTAGTCAAACACTTTGAAAGGTCAATTTTGGCAAACTGTCTCAGGAAGGCATTCAACACCCAATTCTTGAAAAAACATTCTAAAAAAAAAAAAAAAAAAGAAGGTTCTGTGTTGACTGTATCATGCCAAAATTAAATTGTTTTCCAAGTGAGTGTAATTGTTATTAAACAGTAATACTGAATCAGAAAGAGCATATGCTCTGGAATAGTATAAAGAATCTTTAGCATTATTCAAAACACAAATCTGATGGAATTAAATATTAGAATGAGAATCAGACTCATATCCTATGACAGAATCATAGCACAGTTTGGGTTGGAAGGGACCTATAAAGGTCATCTAGTCCAACATCCCTGCAACAACTTTAGCAAGATCAGGTTCCTCAGAGCCCTGTCCAACCTGATCTTGAATGTTTCCATGGATGGGGCATCTACCACCTCTCTGAGCAGCCTGTTCCACTGTTTCACCACCCTTATCGTAAAAAATTTCTTCCTTACATCTAGTCTAAATCTCCCCTCTTTCAGTTTCAAACTGTTGCCCCTCGTCCCATCACTGCCCTCCCTGACCAAGAGTCCCTCCCCACCTTCCCTGCAGGCCCCCTTTAAGCACTGAAAGGCCACTGTAAGGTCTCCCCGGAGCCTTCTCTTCTCCAGGCTGAACAACCCCAACTCTCTCAGCCTGTCCTCACAGGGGACGTGCTCCAGCCCCCTGGTCAGCTTTGTGGCCCAACTCTGGACTCTCTCGAGCAGCTCCATGTCTTTCCTGTACTGAGGATCCCACTGCAGGTGGGGTCTCACCAGAGCAGAGGTGGAGAATCACCTCCCTTGACCTGCTGGCCACACTTCTCTTGATGCAGGCTGGGATGCAACTGGGTTTCTGGGCTGCGAACACACTTTGCCAGCTCATGTCCAGTACCCCCCCAGTCCTTCTCGGCAGGGCTGCTCTCAATTCCTTCATGCCCCAGCCTGTCAGATATCCATGTAACAAATAATCTCAATAGTGGACTTAAATAAAATCCCCTCTTCTGGAGCATTTCCCACTTCTGTTAGTCTGACAGAAGTGAATATTGTTCTACTCATGCCTGGAATGGAGCAGTACACATAAAAGTTGAGAATAAAGCATGGACATTTAGCAGTAGATGGTCATTCTGTTTTGGCGGGGTGGATGCACTGATAAACCACAGGAAGACATTTTCAATTTGAGGGAAGAGGCTTTTATTATTTGCAGAAACTTTTTACTCTTTATAAATATTATTGTTGGAAAAGAGTGTTCTTGACATCTTTCAATAACCAGTCTTCTGTACCATTTGTAGCTCCCGTGCTTAATTATCTAATTTTGGTTGCTTTTGGTTCCTTTTCTATTGACAGCACAGTGTTTATTTAGAACTTAAGCTTTTCATGACATTGATGTATAACACATCTGTAACAACAAAGAATGGATATATTTCTGGAGTAAATGATTTCCTTCTTTGTTTTTGCAAGCCAGAGTGAAGACAGTTCTAGGAAGTGTGTGCTTTTGCCCTGCACAGAAGTATGAGAAATCCTACCCTATTAGGAAGAAGACAGAACAAATTCTTGGAGTCCCTATTCAGAAACACATTTCATAGCCAAAAGAAAATTCTGTACCATGGGAAGTGAAAGGCTGAGAACGTATAATCGTGTTTTCACCAAGTCACCACATACATTTTTGTTAGAATTGAAAAATTGGTGTGAGTTTTAAAATAAGTTACTTTGAGAATATAGCATAGACAATGTACAACTACTGTTTTTTTTGGTGACGTTAAATGGGCAGCCAATAAGCCCTCTCTCTCTTCTTTGGAAATCTTTTTAAATGCCATACTGGGACACCTTCTTAAATGCATCTTAAGAATGTATTCACATTTAAGCATGTATGCCCCAAAACCAGTCAGCAGCAAAACCCCCCCATGGGTTAAGATACTGAGAGATGCTGAGAACTCGGGCCATTTGCAGATCCCAAAAAGTAATACAGTATGAGTAGTCTAAACAGAATCCACAGGTAAACAGTGAATGGACAACTGAGGTAAGTTAAGGCCCAGACACAAAGGTGAAAGTCAAGACATAACTAAAAGCCTGAGATCTAAGATACAATTCATTTACTTACCCTAAAAAAGAAGACAAGGCAAAAGAAAAGATTATTTTTAATAACTGAAATTGGTGTTTCATTTTCATTGAGCTGAATCCTCTGGAAGGTGCAAGCAGATAGCATCTTTACAAGCCTATCTTCCCACTTCAGCTCCCCCACCTTTTGAATAAGGACAACTATAATCGGCAGGACTTGTACAGCTCGCACAGAAACAGGAGACAGCTATTATTTTGTTACTGGGAATTGTGCAGTTTGTACTTAATATTCCTAGACCTGAAATTATACAGTTCCTGTAACCCTCCCAGTAGATCTATTATCTAATCATTGCTGTTATTGCCTGGCAGTTTTCCGTATAGCAGGAGGAGACAGCAGAAATAATTACATAAAATAACCCCTGAAACAAAAAAAAGCCACAGACCCTGTCAATAGGATTCAAAAATATGTTGTGCTTAAGATCACTGTCAACTTACACTTGCACTGTTCTATCCAGTAAAAATATTCTAAATATAGGTACGTCAAATGAAGCAGTGAAGCTAAGAGGCATCTAGAGCACTAACAAAATTAGAAACATTAAAAAAAGAGAAAAAGATGACAATTCCACAGAAACACTGAAGTATAGTTCATTTTCAAACTAACTCTATATGCAGAAGAGCCACCTTAGATGAAGCACATATAGAATAGGCTAAATTTCCCAAATCTTTAGAAACAAAAGACACTGTATAATTAAAAAGAACAGTTTTAATGGGCATAGTTGGATTTTTCACCCTGTTTTTAAAGGTTTTAAAAGTTTTATTACCCCCATTATGGAACACAGTCATGTGAAAACAATACTCTGCAGAAGATTACCACTACCTAAGTACAGCTGGAAGAAAACCTTCTTCCTGCAAGTCTTAGAGCAATCTCCTTTTAAAATTCACTTTAGAAGCCAAATAAATTTCAATTCAGAGGGTTCGCTAAAGGAATATAGAAGTCTATATGAATTACAGCTTTGCTTGTATGAAAAGCTTTATCTTTCCTGCTTCTTGACAGGTTTGCTCATATCAAGGAGATGAAGTAAATATATCAGGGAAACGATTGCTGTACCCTTTCCCTGTTTTATGTTTTGTCTTCTTAATTACCTGTTCCTAGCTTCCTTTGAAATAGAATAGTAGGCTAGAAGGAACTTTGGTCTGACAAATGATGAACATTTTTGTGTTCATCAAAAGAAAAAGATGGCAAACTGGAAAAACTAAAGTAACCCTTTTAAGGGCGCAATCCAGACTTGCAGCCAACAACATAGCAGGGAAGTTCATCTGTTTAAAGTAGGACAAAGCCCAGGCACTTTTTCACATCTGATCTAGACACACAAAATGGAAAAAAGGGGTTGACTGGAGATGAGAAAAGACACGTGTTTGCAGGGTTTGCTATAGTAATGAAAACTGAAAAGAAATATTCACATTCTAGGCATAAGAGAGATTTTTATTTAAAAAATCATTTTTATGAGTCTCAACATCAAAAGTGCAAGATCCTCAAGAATTGAGGAAATGAAAATACATGGGGAAATTTAAATTTTTTGTTGGACAAAGCTCTTTCATTTTTGCAAGGAAAAGTACTGTAACTAGTCTAAGGACTCTTTTTTTTAAACAGAGGATTAAATAAATACAGCTCCAGAAATTATTGGCATTTCAGTCTCTTACTGTGCTATATTGCCATTATCCTGATTAAGGCCTAAACGAAAGGCCCTAGTGTGCCCTTGTCTCAAAGTGCCAGCAGACATCTGCAACGGGAAGGTAACTAAGGCAGTTGACAGGACTCCATCCAGATACAGAGGTACACTACTATGGAATAGTAGCAATCAAAATGAGGAGTATGCATTGTACACAGTTTATACAAAATGATCTAAAGAATGTGTTTGAAGACAAAACTATTCATGACACATGATTACCTTGTCGGTGAATCATTCCTCCGTGCATAATTCTTGCCACAATGCAATGGTTCAGCTCGTTCATTTTTAAAGTGATTCCCTAGAAAAAAGAAAAGTTTATATTTTTAAAATAAAATATTAATCAGTGTGATTCTTGAGTGGTTAAGAACTGTCACTTTTCCTAAAAGCTTGAAGGCAGGGTATACATTTTAAGGTTAAAATAAAAACTTTGCAACTCACTTAAATATAAGCGATGAAAACAGACACTACGTATAAAGAAATATGCAATACTTTAATCTATGAGCATGTAAGATTCTGGTTTGTTAAAAATGTAATTTTGTACTGAAGTGCAAAGCGTCCAGTTTTGTTTAAAGCCTCATCTGCTATAACTACTACAAGGCTCTTTTTAAACAAAACCAGCTTTAGTGGTACAGCAGTAGTATGAATGTACACATAGTATTTTAGGTTAAGGAAATACACAGGAGGATAAGTATCTACAGTGACTACTGAACTATTCCAATTATACTGGCAACCCTACTTCAAAGTGCAGAAACTGCCGTTAAAATCATTATAATACTGGTCTTTACCCGTACAGAGCCAAGAAAAATACCGAGGTTCCTCCCATACCATTGGTTCATCTGTGTTCTTCTGGAACTGCACCAGTCGAACCCGTGTTACATTCTCCATATCCATGTCACCGTTGGCGCTTTCTGGAGAATCTCCGTTTAAGTATGGAGAGGTGGGAGGAGGTGTAACTCTCAGCGCTTCATCACTGTAAACTTCATGTGCCACTACATCATGAGTTTGAAGTAAGGCCTAGAGGAGGTTACAGCAACAAAATATCAGACTTCCATCATCTCTGATGCCCCCCCCTCATTCCTTACAAGTATTTTTTAAGCTTTCAGAAGTTAAAGGGAATCCAAAATATTTCTGCCTCACTTTCTGTACAGGAACTTTGCCCTTAAAGGAGTCTAAGATAAACTTCAGCAGACTGCAAATGCATAGACACATACCTAGCCTTTAAAATCTCTGTGAGTAAACCTGATTTGCTACTGTACATAGCTCATTGAGAATGATGCTGCTTCCCTCTCACCCTTCTTCTCGACACCTGTAAGGTGTCTGAATTAAGCCTAGAATTATTTATGCACCAGAATTAGGAAGCTACCTTTCTGAGCAAACTATTCTATAATACCCACCCTACTAAAATGGAAAGGCATTCAGATCCTGTGGTATTTCATTCTAATAAAGACAGACTGTGGATTGGCATTGACTGAAAGAATGAAATACTGATTTTGTTGTTTACTAGCATAATCACTTCCATATTCTCCCCTTCCCCTAGAGCACAGACCCAGCACAACCATACCAAGTTCAAAACGTCTGATAAAAATTACAACCTAAACCAACAAACTGGTCAAATACTACTTCACTAGTTTTAATTTGCCTCTTGATGCAAAGAATGCTACAACATGTAATTGATTAAATGTATTTAAATATCTTTGATAAGCAGAACAACTGACTGTGGAAGAACTCCAAGCTAGAGCAAACACATGAAGCCTGTATAACTGTAAGAAGTGTAACACAGTATTACAAGATAAAAATTAGACAAAGTGTAAACACTTGCAAAGCAGTATCCACTAGTACCAGGCTTTTTATGGTACGACATCCCACTGTTCTCCAGGATATCTTTAAGAACCCCGTATCACATCCATTTCACATTTGCATTCCATTCTTAATAATGAGTATATTATAGCTAGCTTGCTTCTGTCCAAAAACTAAATACTATTTATATGTGAACATGCTAGTTCTTCTCCTATGCTAACCCATCAAGGATCAGAGATAGATCCTGCCTCTATACCCAAATAGACAGGTTTCTCAGGTAAGTATTGATAAATCGAGCCTAGTTCTCACAATACCTCTACAATAGTAGAGAGATCAGCTACCACCGCAGTTAGGTCAATCTATATCATAGTTAACATCTTAATTTTCATTTAAATGCTTACAGCTCTTAACTTGCAAAACCCATCAATCTTGCAAGGCCTGAGATTGACTGTCTAGAATTTGTTTTGGCAGAGAAATCTGACTCTGTAACATCTTAGTCCTCAATTAAAATATTTAAGCAGAACTTAAACCGAAAAAAAAAGTGATAAAACGCCATCCCTACAAGATGTATTTCTGAAGTGGAATCCAAGACAGAAATGGGATTTTCATGGCCTCTAGAAAATCCTAAATTTGTTCCCAAAGTAGCACTTCTAAAGTGTATCATGATAACTTCATAAACAGTTTAAATTCCCTTTCCTCAAATTAGTTTCAAACTATAGTTGGGAATTCAGCATTACAAAAATGGAACAGAATTCCCTTAAGCTAGCAATGCTCTGTCCACATTCCCTCCTGTTTTTCCAGTGTTTCAAGCCCATCTACACAAATAATATTTTTAGTTAAATACTAACCTGTACCTGTATTTTCTGCTTTTCTACAAAAATTAACACAAATTCAGAAACACCAGACACTAAAGTACAGCAAGGTCAATTTATACATTGAAAACATTTAATATAAAGGCTGCTATTGGACTTTACTTAAAGTTACCTATTTTCATGCATTTCTATAAATTTTGATAATTTAGATTTTTTTCTCCCCCCTGTCTCCTTTTCCTTTGCAGAACATGACTATTCTGCTGAAAATCAGGTTAGTGATAAAAACTGCTTTCTACTATATCACAGGACCAAGGTCTGCAAAGAAGGGCATAGGATGGCACATGATGATGGATAAAACTTCAATATGTAATTAAGTAAAAGTCTCCTAGTACAGCAAACATTTCAATTGCTGACACATAGTAAACTTATATAATGGAACCTTTGGAAGATAAAGGTGGCATACCTGAAAAATTACTGAGTTGTGTAATGGAATCCACATCTATTTTAAAGGCTTTGGCTCAGAAGGGAAGTTTGACAGAATGCCACATACATAAGAATAATTTTGTAAGGTCTGCAACCTTATAAAAGATGTATCTGGGAGCAAGACTGGGAACGATGGGAGAGGATGGGATTGCCTCTTTGACATCTGGAGACTCTTTGGTATCTGCACCCTAAAGGTATGGATCCACAGGAAGATATGCTGATTTAACTGCTGCTTTACATGTTCGTGCTGTTTCTCCCTATCCTGGACTGGGTGTTTCGGTCCCCTTGCTCATTCTGGCTCCGGCAGTATTCCAGTTATCCCTAATTCTTTTTGCTAAATGGATCATTAGTTTGTTGGAGCAGTTTTCTACTAGTTTAGCACAGCGCAACACGGAAGTGCAGTGTCAAATGAACATCAGAACAACTGCAAGAGAGAGGATGAAACACGGGGAGAAGTGATGGGACTCCAACAACTAGCAATTTAGCTTGGGATGCCATAGTCTAACTTACTGAAATTACTACTCATCAAAAATACTTGTTATGGAATTGCAGCAGAAGAATTCTGACAGTTTTAAATTTATGAGGCTATCAGTTGGAAATAGAGATACCTATAAAAGATTATTTCCAACATACTTTTCCTGTTGTTTGAAATTTTTATGTCACAATAATTTCTATTAATGACTACTCTGAAAATAATTTATACTTAAAAAAAAATCTCCGCAGCGCCTAATGTTTTTGCAATTGTGTGTGCTAATTATGCAAAAAAAGGTAAATCAAATGAACCTGTCAAATTCCAAATAAAGAAGATGAGTAATAGAGAGTATTGTTCCTGGTTCTTTATTTAAAAATCTTTCTTACAATATTGCTGACTACCATTCCACCTTGTTTTATGTTCTATTTCAAGCAAGTATTCCTGTTAAACATCAAACCAGATTTGTTGCAGACTTCAGGATAGGTATCATCTCCGGGCAATGACATATCAGTGTGTTGCTGAGTACAACACAAAAAGCCAATGTCTGCATTAATAATTAGTGCAATGAAACAGGAATGAATCAACAAGTAGAACAATTGGGTTAGTGACGACCCAATGTACATACAGAATGCATTGCAGGAGTTTTTAACTTCTGATCAGCTTCCATCTTGCCCTGCAGACTGAATGCCCATCAGTTGCTGGATTATACTGCCTTCTGGCATACATCTTTGAGTTTAGTTTTATCTGAAAGGAGTCTAGTTTGCATGCGCTGAGACCCTTACATGATACAAACCAGAGCATTGTAAGGGTACAATCAGGAGACTCACTTCAAAAACACATTCCTGATCTGATTTAAAGCTCTAAAATAAATGCACCCAAAACTACAGTGGCCATCAAAAGAACACACTGGGACATGCAGCCATACAGTTTTCATCTTATACCTGAATATGAGGTTGGTTTCAGCTCACTCTCTCCTGGAAATTAGGTTTATCCTTCAGACTTACAGTAATTCAGCTTTCAGGTAAGCAAATTCCACAAAGCCCCCTGCATATAATCCTTGTGTTAGGGAAAGTCAGATTCACGATTTTAAAGTGACAATAGTGTGTAGCAGATTTAAGGAAACACTTTGGTTTCTGAACGTATGAACTTCATCCACAGCTTAAAAAGAAGTCCTTTAAAGTAGTTTTGAAAGACTGGACTTCAGTAACTTGAACCAAGCTAGTAAACAGTCACATCCCTGAACTTAGGACAATTACTGCCCACAAATCAGGTTTGGGAAACAGACACGGTAGGAGTTGATATATAACACAGATTCACTACATTGTAAAAGCTATTGATGTATTGTAAAATAACATTAAACAAAGACTTATTTTGCAATGAATTTATCCTAACAGGTCCTTGGAAAAAAAGAAGCAGCAGGATCGCAGCTCTACCTATGGACATCCAAAAGGATTCAATGTGGAACAAAGCTCCCGTAAAGACAGTGAAACTGCTCCATAATTAGATTACTCCAAAATGCTGACAGTTTTCAGTACAGTAATGGGGACCAATAGTAGCAGTAACAGTAACTATTTTGCCAGACCAGCAGATTAGAAATATTTATTAATAGGTATAGTGTATTGTATGCAGTTTTGTCACTTGCAAATTTTAGGGAGAACTTACTGAACTTAAGTTTTCTAATACAAAGAATATTGAAAAAAAAACCCCAAACCCAAACAAGAGTAGCATTTGCTTACCATGAAATGAGGTTGTGTTAAAATACGCTTTAGCTCCTTTGCATCATTGTTCTCTGGGTAACATGAAATTTCTTCCAATACCTGCAAAATAAGCAGAAATGTCCATAGGAACTTTCTTTTAAATAAAGCTATTAAACAAACAAATGAAAACCCTCACTGGTCAGTCAGAATATCTCCAAGTGATTATACAAAAGCATTTTTTTGACAGGAAAGGGCTTAGGAGAATGTGCCCTCCCTGCAAGAGAATAAAACACCTAATTTCAATGTTCTTTCTGGCAGAGATTAAAGCAGAAATGTGAAGGAAACAGTTGGTCTTTTTCTAATTGACAGTATTCCTCTAACAGTGAAATATATGGAGACAGAAATGAAGTGCTAATAGGTGACCACCAATTGCTACTTTCATACATGGTCTCCATTTATTAAAACAATCAGTTTAAAAGCAGAGTCAAAAATACTCCTAAAACCTTCTCTCCACAAATTAAATTGTTAAAGACATCAAGTGTAGGTCGTCCATCCGCTACTACACCTCCAAGCTCCAGATTTTATAAAATCTGAGGCATACTTCAGCTTATCATTGGGGGAAGGAAGAAGGAGTAAATAAGCTTTAACTCACTTGCCTGCAACCTGATACTTACACCTTTATTTTCACATGCAGCTACTTGGACAACGAAAGCAGAGCATTTTGCTTCTAGAAGCACCTCTCAGGACTAACCGCCAGAAAATTTTGCAGAATAGGACTTCAGCGTGTCTATCAGTGTGACTTCAGTTATTACATAGTGTTTTAAAGTCTTCCTGTTCATTCTATTTTAATAGCATTATAACCAGTCTTTTCCTATGACATGACTCCCAACTACTGTACTTACTTTTAGTAATTATAGATAATACAACTTTTTTTTTTTTTTTTTACTACATGCAATAAAAAAATCAAATACTACTTTTCAGGTATAAGAACATCTGTGTCTATCTTTGGTCTTAATGGGCCACCTTCATTGCATTTCTAGGTCTGCTCTTAGAAATATCTGTGACAAACTTAGTTTTCAATTTAAAAAGCTGATACCTAGAATTTATCTTTTTTTGTAACTAAGTCATATAAACATCAAACTTCTGCTGTAGATAAATAAAATGAACATGAAAGATACTGCATTTACCCAACAGAAGCATTCCTTTTAATACCACTATTGTTGCAGCAAAGGTTATATGATGAAACTGAGTAATATGTAATCCTTACAGGCATAATGGAATTCTGCAAATTTATGCAACTTTTAATGTAACTTAAGTAAGCAACGTTAGAATTCCAGAAATAATTCAGATTATGAGACAGAATATGTATCAGTACCTTAATGAGGAAAAAACAGTTCCACTTGAAATACAATCAAACTTTCAAAGTAAAAAATATATTTTAAAGCCATTACCTCTTTGGCTCTCTGTACAGCATCACTTGGAGGATTCCTGATTTGTGGTGAAGATTTTGTGTTTATTTTGTCATAAAGCTGAAATAAGAAGAAAACAAACTACTGAAATCATACGCTACTTTTTATATAAAGTAATGACGAGCACCAACAATAGCCTGTTTATGTTACCATAATTAAGATGATTGTTAAACTGCAAGACCCACAGATGTTCTGTATATAAAATCTAGCAGCTTGGGGTTTTGGCTTTTCATTTTTAAACATTTCCTGATTTGAACAGTGCCATAGATTCAGAGTTCATAGGATGACATGGGAAAGTGCAAGAGGTTAAGGGATTCTGCAAAACCTCCCATGCTTTTTCCACAGATTTACAGAAACTATATTCTTCTACTAGAAGTGATCCTATGAATCTCAAATAAATGCTGTAAATCACATTTTCTGCTATAAAATAAAATTAATCTGCATATCCCACTTTTCTCAACAAATCAAATCATCAAGCATTCCGAACAGTAATTTAAATAAACCTCAGAATATGGAAAAATGAATGCTTTTGAAGATAGAACAGTACGAAAGCCAAAGTCTTTGGAGAAGAGAAAAACAAACCTTTCCAAGAAAGAGCACTCACTGAAAAGAGTACCTTTATTTTACTAAGATCTTCTATTGCACAGAAGAATGCCAATGTATTTAAATAGGCAATCGTAAATCTTCCAGGTTAATTACTTTAAAACAAAAACAAACTTAAAAAAAACCCCTCAGCTATGCAAAACACAATAGGAGAAAGATCTATCTTCAGTTTCAAATTAGAGATAGCTATTACAGGCTCTCTTTCATATAAACCTAAGAGACTGTGCATGTTTTAAAGGAATAAATGTATACTTAAGAATAAACAGGCAGTGTAATAATTATTATTTTAAAATAAAAATCTCTTGGCTTACATTTCAAACAATATAAAGATGGTCATGCCTGTAATTATTTCCTATTTATGGTAGACTACTACTTTGAAATGTAAGTCTGAAAAAAGATACAAATAACTATTTTTGGGATATTAGAGAAATTTTTATCACAGTGAGGGTGGTTGCCCAGGAAAGTTGCGGAATCTCTCAACTTTGGAAATACTCAAAATTCAACTGAAATTCAAAATAGTGTATGTAAACAAACATTCAAAATACACAAGGGACTAACACCTTCAGCAAATCCTAACACTGTAAAGGATGAGTCGATAAGAACCCCCCATTTAGGCTGCTCAGCAAGGAGTTCTCAGGAGCTTCCCGTGAGAAGCTTACAGCTCCATTGTTTGGCTGAGGACAGCCTTGGATGTTTGAAAAAGGGAATATGTCAAGCTGCACAAGTGCCCTCTACTCCTTCTCACATGAAATATCATTCAGTTTTAGAGAAGATGTAAATTTCAACAAATGCAATCCAGTATCGTCATTTTCCTTGTGTTCCTTAACAATCTAATGCACACTCGAACATTTCAAATCCATATGCAAATAAATACAAACAGAGGAAATTACGTCGCTTCCAAAAACTATTGCCTGTAGGACAAGTTATACCGCTGTCTTGCAGAGAGAAAAGCAGAAAAGTCAAGCTAAATCAGTTTCTGGCACATCCAACAACTTCACCTTGTGCTGCCAAAACACTGCTACACTCAACAGTTTAAGCAGCCTTGACCACTGTTGAAGCTTTTAAAATAAAAGCTTTCTGCAAGCTTATAGTTCAGCAGATACTTTAGTTGCGTATACAGTTATTCGTTTTTACCTTTTCTTAAATAAGTAAACAAAAGCTACCCAAACTCCAGCAACTTCAAATTATTAAGTATCACATTCATACAACTGTTTAGAGAGTGCACCAAGCACTGGGTATTGAGTAAAGTGCAGCAGGAGCTGTTGAAAATGCATGATAGCCAATATGAATATTATTGAACTTATTTTTCTAGAGGAGTCACACACACATCCTGTTTAAGATTAATGAAATTACAGAAAAGTTAGCATGAACATATTTTTATTAGCTATTTCTGGCAATTCTTTAAAAGCTAAGTCGCTGAAGTTGCTGACTTCACTCAAGTTGCTATGTTATCGTGATCCAAAACAACTGGCAGTTTACAGAAACAATTTTTTCTTGCTATCATGGGAGAGTTATCTTCTGAGACTAGGAAGGAGACAAAAAGGAAAGTAGGAAACAAAGTGCCTTTAAGAACGTTCAGAAAAAAAATCAAGGCAAAGTTCAGACTAAACAAGGGAGCATTTATTTTTCTGTAGTGCTTTCATGCTGAGGCATAGCACTTAAATTTCATCTTCCAGGACTGCTGCTTATAAAAAGTTGCTTCCAAGGCACTAAACCATTCAGAGGGACTCCAACAGTATTTAAAAGAAATACCTTCATATTTGCATTAAGGCTTAAAGCCTACATATTACCAAAGCCATGTGATCCATTCCTTGTTTCTGGAGGTAGAAGACAGCCTCAACTACAGAAAGGTTGTATTTTTGGTGGCTTCACTAGCATGAGCAGATCTCTTCCCGAGAATCTTCTTGGGTACTCTACCTCCAAAGCTCATTGCAGGAGAAGGCACTCATTCCAGGGTCTATTTGAAACACTATGCAAACAGCCTTCACTGCATTACATTTTTTACCACAAGTATAATGTGTTTTTCTCTGATGTTCCGTCCAGTCTTAAAGTAAGAGGCAAAACAACCCCACAACAAACCTGAAAAGAAACTTCAATCTCTCCAACTTGAAATGCATTTTTAAATGGTAAATTCCTAATTAAAACCAGAGACATTTCATGAAGGCATACTGATTTAAGAAAAAAAGTAAAACACTTTTTCATTTGTTTAACTGGGTTACCACGACTTTAACCTCTGCATGCAAGGAAAAAGAAAAGCGTATTTTCTGCCCAAGTAAAAAAATCATATATCTAAGAACAAAGAAGACCAATAATACTTACAAGTGGGGGCACTACCTTGGCAGGGAGAAGGAGGAGTCAGAAAGCATAAAGTCAGCTATGTATGAGTTTCTCCCAGGGAAGACTACAGCCTAATGCCATACCATAATGAGAATATCAGTTAAGACTGTTACCTGTATTTTTCGTGTGTCCACAACAGATCACTGTTCAGTTCTACATTCAAAATACAGTAAGGATGCCAAGAAGCAGAAAGAGCTTAGAAAAAGCTTTCCAAAAAAGATCAATCATCTCTCCCCCTCTTATTTTTTAAAATGGTTAAAGACGACAGAGGCTTGATAATATAAGGGAAGTCAATTTAAATGACAAAACTGTCACATGATCCAGGTAAAAGGAAGTAGTCAGGATAAATTCAGAGTAGAATTGAAGCACAAATATCAACACTGCAGGTAATTAAGGGTGTAACTGATTTACTGTCTTGGGACTTTTTAACAAATCAGAAACACATTTTTGAAATGGTATACTCTAACCTAAGTTAGTGCATGGAGATTTTAGCATATAAAGGGACTAGGCTATATAATTAAAATTGCTTCTTCTTGCCCCATATTCCATAAACAACATATTAAGCTTTAAAATTTCAGTGTAAATAATTTATTTTGTAATTTGTTGGAAAATGGTATCTGTATCAATAAAACTGGTGTTTTATGAATTATCCTAAAGGGAGCAGTAGTGAAAGATTTATTTTTGTATGTGAAGTCATCAATGGTCAAAGAAAATTTCCACATGAGAAAATCCAAATGACATAAAGAAAAATGTAGTTTATCATTTCCTGTACAGTATTTTTTTAGGCACACTGTAGATGTTCAGTCAGTTGTTACCATCTCTGTGCTCCAAATTACTTCTAAAACAGGAGCTGCCTGTGGCCTTCATCATGTCAAGGGTTTTTCGTCTTTTTATAAATGGGCCACAAATTCTTAGGTTTTAATTATGGTTCTTGAAATGATGGTAAATGCTGTCTTGACTTATAACTGGTTTTAATCCCTTTTTAACAACAAAACAGCTGTACTTATTACTGACATTTGATGTTAGCAACAGAAAAGTCTCCTGGTGGAGACAACGAGTGTTGTTACCAAACTGTCTCAGTGTCTGTCTTTACATCTCACCTGGAAACAATCTTGTTCAGGCCACAAAATCTCTCTCTGGTATAATGCATTATATCACTGAATTGTTCTGGAGAGTAGTGGTACAAATTACAATACACAAGCCAAATGCCATTATTACACACTGAACACAGTAAAATGACCAGACTCTTTCAAAATTTATAAATACATACACAGCAATAGCCCATGAACCATTCATTTTATCCAGGTTCATATGTCATTATGGATTTCTAATGCATCCTTAGGAGAAATTAAAATAATATTATATACAAGATTATATCAGAAGTACTGTTTATGTAGTCAAAGCAGAAATAAGAACACACAACCAAGATATGTATCTTTAAAAACATACGAAGTAATAATAAGTAAACCCAGAAACAAAGGAAGTATTAGTACCTCTTAGTACTTGCTTTAGATTTTAACTTTTTCAATATACCATTTCAACAATGCTTCCACACAATTTTTTTGGCCGTTAAAAAAAAAAAGTCTGGTTCTAAATTGTCTCTTGTTTGGTATGTACTCACATAAACAGACAGCTGAATCCAGGATATTATTCTGTGCATCTCATTTCCAATTTTAGTAATTGTGTGTTCAGTCTGGACAGAATTTTTTAGCATTAGGTTATTAGTCTATTTCAAAACCCACATTAACTCTAGCAATAACTGGACTTTACTGGTTACAGAAGATGGTTAGAAGCTTTCACCAGAACATAGCAGAAGGTGGTAAGAGCTTACACTATGCATTAATGCACCACAACTGATGAAGCAGTCCTACCTTCTTTGCAATCTTTGCAAAAGGACTGTTTCACAATACTTTTCAAATATTTTTGCACTTAAAACAATAGCTATAGCAGAAGTGATTTAGAAGAAGGAATTTACAGCTCCATAATTCGTCTCTGAAAGCATCTGAATTTAGAGGTTTCACTTAGACACCTTAAGAACGTTTTTTCCCTTGGATGTACAAATCCAACACACCTTTACACAAATGTTTTACAAAATGTTTATGAAAACTCTGAAGGAAACC